GCTCAGAAGACAAGAAGATGAGCAAAAGTTTGGAACTTCCTAGAGACTAGTTGAATGGTTGTGACCAAAATGCTGATAATGAGGTGGATGGTGAAGGCCAGGTTGAAGAAGTCTCAGATGGAAATGAGGAACTTATTGGGAAATAGAGCAAAGGTCACTTTTATTATGCCTTAGCAAAGAGCTTGGCTGCATTGTGCCCCTAACCTAGGGATCTGTGGAACTCTGAACTTGAGACTGATGATTTAGGGTATCTGATGGAATAAATTTCTAAGCAGCAAAGCATTTAAGATATGGCCTGGCTGCTTCTAGTAACCTGTGCTCATAAGTGTAAGCAAAGAAGTGACCTAAAGTTGGAATTTATATTTAAAGGGGAAGCAGAGCATAAAAGTTCAGAAAATGTGCAGCCTGGCCATGTGGTAAAAGAGAAAAGCCTATTTTCACAGGAGGAATTCAAGCAGGCTGCAGAAATTTGCATAAGTAAAAAGAAACCTAGTGCTATTAGCCAAGACAATGGGAAAAAGGCCCCAAAGGCATTTCAAAGACCTTTGCAGCAGCCTCTCTTTTCACACAGGCCCAGAAGTTTAAGAATACAGCATGGGCTGGGCGCGGTGGCTCAAGCCTGTAATCCCAGCACTTTGGGAGGCCGAGACGTGTGGATCACGAGGTCAGGAGATTGAGACCATCCTGGCTAACCCGGTGAAACCCCGTCTCTACTAAAAAATACAAAAAACTAGCCGGGCGCTGTGACGGGCGCCTGTAGTCCCAGCTACTCGGGAGGCTGAGGCAGGAGAATGGCATGAACCCAGGAGACGGAGCTTGCAGTGAGCTGAGATCGGGCCACTGCACTCCAGCCTGGGCGACAGAGCGAGACTGTGTCTCAAAAAAAAAAAAAAAAAAGAATACAGCATGGTTTCATGGGTCAGACCCAGGGCCCCACTAACCTGCTGTTCCCTGCATCTCAGCAGCTCTTGTTTCAGCCATAGCTCAAAGGGGCCCAGGTACGGCTGAAGCGGCTGCTTCAGAGGGTTCAAGCCATAAGCCTGGGGGGCGTTCACATGATATTAAGGCTGCAGGTGCACAGAATGCAAGAGTTAATCCTTGGGAGCCTCCACCTAGATTTCAGAGAATATATGGGAAATCCTGAGTGCTCAAGCAGAAGCCGCTGCAGGGGCAGAACCTCTACTAGAATGGTGCAAAGGGGAAATGTGGGGTTTGAGCCCCCACACTAGTTCCCACTGGAGCACTGCCTAGTGGAGCTGTGGGAAGAGGGCCACCACCCTCCAGACCCCAGAGTGGCAGATCCTGGCAGCTTGCACCCTCAGCATGGAAAAGCCACAGAAACCTAATGCCAGTTTGTGAGAGCAGCCTCAGGGACTGAGCCTTGCAAAGCCACTGGGGTGGGACTAGTTGCCCAAGGCCTTGAGAGTCCACCCGTCACACCAGTGTACCCTGGATGTGAGACATGGAGTAAAAGGAGATTGTTTTGGAGCTTTAAGATTTAATAACTGCCCTGCTGGGTTTTGGACTCGTGTGGGGCCTGTAGCCTCTTTCTTTTGGCTGATTTTTCCCTTTTAAGATGGGAATATTTTACCCAATGCTTGTACCTCCATTGTGTCTTGGAAGTAAATAACTTATTTTTGATTTTTACAGGCTTGTAGGTGGAAGAGATTTGCCTTATCTCAGATGAGACTTGGGATTTTGGACTTTTGAGTTAATGCTGGAATGATTTTGGACTTCGGGGGACTATTGAGAAGGCATAATTGTTTTTTGCAATGTGAGAAGGACAAGATGTTTGGGGGACCAGGGGCAAAATGATATGATTTGGATTTATGTCCCCAACAAATCTCATGTCAAATTTTAATCCCTGTTGTTGGAGGTGGGGCATGGTGGGAGGTGTTTGGATCATAAGAGTGGATGCCTCATGAATGGTTTAGCACCATCCCCTTGATGTAGTGCTCATGATAGTGAATTTTCATGAGATTCGGTTGTTTAAAAGTGTGTGGCACCTCCTTCCCACCCTCATTCTCTATTGCTCCTGCTCTGGCCATGCTCCCACTTTGCCTTCCACCATGATTTAAGTTTCCTGAGGCCTCCCCAGAAGCTAAGCAGATACTAGCACCATGCTTCCTGTACAACCTGCAGAACCATGAGCCAATTAAATCTCTTTTCTTTATAAATTACTCAGTCTCAGGTATTTCTTTATAGCAATGGGCTAACGGCCTAATGTACTCCTATTATTGATTTCTAGTTTCATGCCATGGTAGTAGGAAAAGATACTTGATGCTATTTCAATCTTCTTAAGTTTGTTAAGCTTTGTTTTGTGACCTAATATATGGTCTGTCCTGGAAGGCATTCCATGTGTGCTTGAGAATAATGGATATTTTGTTGCTGCTGAATGGAATGCTCTGTATATGTCTATTAGATGCATTTGGTGTAAAGAGCAATTCAAGTCTCCTATGCTGAGTGTTGATGTCCCATCAGTATTTATATGTTGAAACCTCATCACTCATCTGATAGTATTAAGAGGTAGGGCCTTGTGGAAAGTAAGACATGAAGACTTATGAATGGGATTAGAGCCCCTATGAATGGTATTAACACCCTTATAAAAGAGATTGAAGGGGGCATGTTTGCCCCTTTCCACCATGTCAGGACACAGCAACAAGGTGCAATCTGTGAAAAATGGGCCCTCATCAGACATTGTATCTGCTAGCACCCTGACCTTGGATTTCCCGGCCTCTAGAAGTTTAAGAAATAGGCCAGGCATGGTGGCTCACATCTGTAATCCCAGCACTTTGGGAGGCTGAGGTGGGTAGATCACCTGAGGTCAGGAGTTCAAGACCAGCCTGGCCAACATGGCAAAACCCCATCTCTACTAAAAAGACAAAAATTAGCCAGATGTGGTGGTGCATGCCTGTAGTCCCAGCTACTTGGGAGGGTGAGGCAGGAGAATTGCTTGAACCTGAGAGGCAGAGGTTGCAGTGAGCCAAGATCATGCCACCACACTCCAGCCTAGGCAACAGAGTGAGACTCCATCTCAAAAACAACAAGAAGTTTAAGAAATTAATTTGTATTATTTACAAATTACCTAGCCTAAGGTATTTTTTTTTTAAAACAGCCTGAACAGACTAAGACAAAATTTAATTTTTAAATAATTTTCTGCCTGGCTGATCTATTGTTGAAAATGGGATATTGACATCCACTAGTATTATTGTATTACAGTTTATCTCTGCCTTCAGATCTCTTAATTTTTGCATTTAGGTGCTCTGATGTTTGGTGCATATATATATATATATACACACACACACACACACAATTATGTCTTCTTGATGAATTCACTCCTTTATTATCATATAATTACCATCTTTGCCTTTTTTCAAAATTTGACTTAAAGTCTGTTTAAACTGATGTAAATATAGCTATCCCTGCTCTCTTTTGGTTTCCATTTGCATGAAATATTTTTTCCATCCTTTCATTTTCAATCTATACATTTTTTAAAGGTGAAGTGAGTCTCCTATAGGCAACATATAGTTGGGTCTTGTTTTTGTGTTTGTTTTTAAATCCATCAAGCTAATCTATATCTTTTGAGAATTTAATTCATTTACATTTGAGGTAATTATTGATAGATAAGGCTTTACTGCTTCCATTTTGTTCATTGTTTCCTGGTTGTTTTGTAGATCCTTTTTTCCTTTCTTCCTGTCTTACTGTCTTTGTTTCTGATTATATGGTTTTCTATAGTGGTATACTTTGATTCTTTACTTGTGATCTTTTATGTATAATCTACCATTTTGCTGACTATACTTCTTAGTTTAAGGTGCTAAGAGTACAGTAATTCATAAAATAGAGCCAAGTCTCTACTCAAACTTAAGGTGAGAGAGTGCTTTCTGAATTCCTTTCTGCAGACTTAGGATTTAAATCTGAAGTGAGCATAGCCCTGTGGGTTCTGTGGGTGATGATAGACAACTATTCTGGGATCTGAGTGGGATCAGTAGTGATGCAGTGAAAGATGTGTGGGGGCTGTTGGGACATGGGAGCCTCAGGGGTGTTCGGGGCCAGGTAGACTCCTCGCATTCCAGCCTCAGGTCCCTCAATCCTCCCAAATTGCTGACAACTGTGAAATAAGGATGCTGATGCCAGGATCTGACATCATAGCATCCTGGGCAAAAAGCTCAGTTCCTCACACTCAAGTGAAGGAGAGTGGGTCAGCTGTGGTGGTCAGGTGTATGTGGTATAGAGTGTGTGTGTGTCTGTGTGTGATGTGTGTGTTGGGGGGGAATGTGTGTGGGAGTGATGTGGTGTGTGTGTGTGTACATGTACAGTGTGTGTGTGTCTATATGGTATGGTGTGCATATGTGTGTGGTGAGTACATGGTGTGTGTGTGAGATGTGCAGTATGTTGCATGATGTGTGTGAATGTGTGCTGTGTATGGTGTGGTGTGTGTGTGTGTGATACATCATGTGGTGTGTGTTTATGCATGTGTGGTGTGTGTGTCAGTGTGTTGAATATGTGAGGTGTTGTATGCTATGTATGGTGTGTGTGTGTTTATAGTGTCTGTGGCATGTTGTGTGATGTGTGTGTGTTTAAGGTGTCTAAGGCTGTGTAGATGCGGACGCTTTATAGATGCTCCACAGAGGGCTGTCTTTGCTCACCAGCTCTCTTAGACCCCTGTAATCTTTCTTTTATTGTACTGCAAATTACATTGCCCACCAAGAACGTCACAATTGGCAGCCATGGGCAGTGATTCCCAGCCCTTTTGAAATTTTTACGCTACTCAGTATCCCTCTCTCTCTTTGCTTATTTGTCACTTTAAAATAAAATCAGATTCAGTGAGCTTTGTGTCTTTAGGGGAATTCTCAGTGAAGTCTGGAAACCCTTCCCCTCAGGTTTTCCCACTGCTGCTTGGAGTTTCTGGTATGAAGTGCTGGTGCTCTCCACCAAGCAGCAGGTGCATCTGCAAATTACTGTGGGATGTTAACAGCTATATACTTTCTTATTCATTACAGCCCCAGTCCCCAAAAGGCAAAAATGTGACCACTGGACTCCCTGCCCATCTGACACCTATGCCTACAGGTTACTCAGTGGAGGTGGCATAAACAAGTACGCCAAAATCTGCTTTGAGGATGACCTGTAAGTACCAGTGTTTAGAAGGAAAATAAAGCTATCCTACTGATTCTTCCACCTTCCCTGAGGCTGACCAAGCAGCAGTTCTGCCCATAGGAGAGAACCATATGTCGTTGGTCTCAGGCAAAAGGCTAAGAGCATCCAAGTGGAAATGAGAAAGCTCTGCTGTATTCACCAGGGAAGGAGCTGATTGTCTCTAATGGCTGTATGTGTCCGGTGTTGAATGTTTTACTGTTTCATTTGACTGCAGTTATACTTAGGATTTAAATCTGAAGTGAGCACAGCCCTGAGGGTTCTGTGGGTGATGATAGACAACTACTCTGGGATCTGAGTAGGGATCAGTAGTGATGCAGTGAAAGGCATGTGGGGGACGTAGGGACATGGGAGCCTCAAGTTAGACTACTTTACTTTGAATATGTGGCAAAGTCCTTCAAAGTCATGGGAATATGAAAATTCAGCTGATAGTTTCTTAGTTTTATTTTATGATCCTCACCCTCCTGGATTAAAGCAGGTGTTGTTTCTGTTTGCAGTCCATATTTCACACTTCTTCAATATTTTGGGAAAATCCATATAGGATTGATACTATTTCTTCGTTAAATATTTGGTGTGATTTCCCAACAAAGTCATCCTGCCTGGAAGGGTTTATTTTGAGGTTTTTAACTGCAAATTTAATTGATGTAATAAGTACAGCACTACTTAAGTTATCTGTTTCTTCTTGAGTGGCCCTTTTTTTTTTTTTTTTTTTTTGTGCTTCCTTGATTTATAGCAAAGCCGAGTCTGTCTTTGTTCAGACTGAAATCAGCCATTTCTCTAAAAGGACAGTTCCTTAATGGGATATGGTATTTAGAAACTGAGACCTAGACACCCATGGCCACTTTTAGTGGACAGAACCAAGCAATGCATTTGTTTCTAAATCATAAATTTACATTAGCATTTACAATTCAAATTCAACAGTGCAGGAGTCTTACCCCCTTAAGTTCTTTGATTTTACATTTTAACTCTTCCTTTACACTGAGAATCTTGGTTCCTAGTACTATTAACCTTTGCCTTCAAATTACAATACCAGGACTACTAACAATACAACTACTGAGCGAAGTTAAAACATGTTGTTTGCAGTTCCTTACAGGTTTAAAAATATTTTATTAAGGGTATAAAAAGTCAGATGTCTATATTAATCAAGGCTCTCCAGAGAGACAGAGCCAATGGCGGTGGGAGGTAGGAAGAGAAAGGAAAGAGTGGATTTATTTATTAGGGAAATTGGCTTATGCAATTATGGAGGCCAAGAGGTCCCATGACAGGCCATCTGCAATTTGGAGACCCTGGGATGCTGGTAACATGGCTGAGTCCAAGTACCAAAGCCTCAGAACCAGAGAGGCAGATGGTGTAATTCTCAGTTTGAAAATCAATAGGAGATGGGGGTTCTGCTGGTGTCAGTCTTGGAGTCTAAAGGCTGGAGAGCCTGGAGTTCTCATGTTCAAAGTAGGAGAAGTAGAAGGGTGTCCCAGCTCCAGCAGACAGAGAGAGAGAGACAAAAGGGGATTGAAGTTGTCTTTTTTTTTTTTTTTTTGAAACAGAGTCTCTCTCTGTCACCAGGCTGGAGTACAGTGGCGCCATCTCGGCTCACTGCAACCTCTGCCTCCCAGGTTCAAGCAGTTCTCCTGCTTCAGCCTCCCGAGTAGCTGGGACTACAGGCGTGCACCACCATGCCCAGCTAATTTTTGTATTTTTAGTAGAGACAGAGTTTCACCATGTTGGCCAGGATGGTCTTGATCTCTTGACCTTGTGATCCGCCTGCCTCAACCTCCCAAAGTGCTGGGATTACAGGTGTGAGCCACCATGCCCAGCCAAAGTTGTCCTTTTATAAGGAACCCACCCACTCCTGTGATAACAGCATTAATCCATTCAGGAGGGCAGAGTCGTCATGGCCTAATCACTTCCTAAATGTCCCAACTCTTAATATTGTTGCAATAGCAATGAAATTTCCACCTGACTTTGAGACATGTGACAAACATTCAACTCATAGCAATGGCCACAGTCATATGAAATAATTACTTTCCCTGTAGTTATTTTACATTGGATTAATTTCCATTTGCTTTCAATGCTAGGTTTTTCTCTTTTTCTTTGGGTTTCATTTAATTTTTGTATATATATTTATGTTGTTCAGAAATCAGCGTTATGTTTGAACATTACAGTTCCAAAAAAGGAGGCTCAGAGAAATCTTCCCTATATTCTCCACCTTTTCTCCCCACCTCCTGTTCCCATCTCCATTAATTTTTAAATTCGTTTTTGATTTATTCTTCCAGTATTTTTTAATGGCAAAAAATAAGCTATATATATATAATTAATACATATCTATGTATGTTTTGTATACATGTATATATGTGCATGTATACCTGTGAATATATGTATATGTGTGTATGAATATGTGCACATATATGTGTATATACACATGTATATACATATACACTCATATGTACACACACATACATATCCTTTCTTACATAAAAGGTGGTAAACTCTATACACAGTTTTGACTTTGGCTTTCTTCACTTAACAGTTAATAGAGGTTATTCCATATCAGTACATAAGGCTTTTCCTCATTTCCTTTATTGATATGTGGTATTCCATAGCATGAATGTGTCATAGTTTATTCAACTAGTTCTGCACTGATAGGCATTTCTGATGTTTGATATATTTTGGTATTACCAATAATGCTGCAATGAATAACATGATGAATATATCATTTTGTAATAAATTATGATAATGTGAACACTTGTGTAACCACCATCCTGGCTAAGAAGTAGACTATCACTTATCTCTCCATAAGCCCTCTGTGTACCCCTTCCCAAATGCAACTTCCTCTTTCCTTCCTGCCCAATGGTAACCTGGATTTTTTTTATGTCGATTAATTTCCTCACTTTGCTTGGTAGTTTTACTGCCTAAGCATGCATTACAAAATACTGTTATTTAATTAAACATTTGTTTAATGTTGTCTGTTTTGGACTTTGTATAAATGGAATCGTAAACCAAATACTCTTTTGTGTCTGAGATTTATCCTTCTTGTTGGATGTAGCTATTGTTCTTAGATGTTCATTGCTGTCTCGTATTGCATTGCGTAAATATGTTACAGTTATCCACTCTATGGTTGAATGACATTTGAGTCTTCCCCAGTTTGGGGTTATTATGCCCAGTACTGTTTATGTCTCTTGGTGCACATGTACCTACATTTCTGTTGAGTGTTTTTTTGCAGAAGGATTCTCACAACTAGCCTCAAATTCGGTGATACTCTAGAAAAACTCCTAAGACCCAATAACATGTTACACTTATAGGTAAGGTTTATTACAGCAAAAGACACAGAGCAAACGCTGCTGCATGTTCTGCTGATGGTGAATTCTTCCAGTTTATGCTTCTCTGAAGTATCTTTATTTCACCTTCATTCCTGAAAAATAGCATGGTCTGCTGATGGTGAATCCTTCCAGTTTATGTTTCTTTGAAATATCTTTATTTCATCTTTGTTCCTGAAAAATACTTTTGCAGGCTGTGTTGGCCATTATTTTATTTCAGCACATTCAAGGTACTATTCCACTGTCTTCTAGGTTCTATATTTTCCTTTTGAGAAGTCAGCTGACAGTCTTATTGTTGCTACTGTGAAAGTAACTGCCTGTTCCCCTCATCCCTGTAACCTTTGAGATTCCTTGTCTTTGGTTTTCAACATTTGTACCCCAGTGTGTCTTTTGTTGTTTTATCTTCTTTGGAGTTTTTTTGAGTTTCTTAAATATGTAGGTATTGAAGTCCTTCATCAAATTTAACAAATTATCTGCTCTTGTATCTTCTGCCCATTCACTTTCTCCTCTTCTTCTGAGATTCTTAATGAAACATATGTTAGACCTTATCACTACTATATTCTCTATAGCCTACAATCTATTTTGTATTTTCCATTTGTTTATCTCTCTTCTCTTTATCATGGTCAGAGATGTTTTCCAGTCACTGATTCTCTCTTCCACTGTGCCTAATCTGCTGTCAAACCCATTCATTCACTACTGATTTTAGGTTACTATATTATCTTAGTTTTAGAAATTTATTCTGGTTCTTTTTTAAATCAGCATGTCAGTTTTGGTACTTTTCAGTTCTGAAATTTTTAATTTTATCAACCATGTTTTTGAATACATTATAGTTAAAGTCTGAGTTGGATAACTCTAGCATTTCGTCTCTAATTTAAGCATTTAGACCTTATTTGGTCTGTAATGTATACAACCATTTAGAGTGCCTGTGAGTCTGTCACTGTTATCTCCTGTTTTCTGCTGGTTCCATTGGCTCTTGTGTGCGTTGGCTTCTTTCCTCACATGTCAGGTTTCATATGATCTTGTACCTGTTTTTTTAGAAAAATTGAGGCATGGGATGATATCTTCTTCTGAGGAATTGTCTTTGCTTCTCCCAGGGACCTGGAACCTTTAGCAGAACAGGATGACCTGAATAAGTGTTAAAGATTTTCTGGGCCACCTAGTTGACTAAAAACTAGGCTGAAGTTTATACAAGCTCTGATTTATTTCTGGTTTGCTCTCACTTTCAGGATTCAACCCTTTGTGACCTCAGCCCAAATAAGATATAGGAGATTTAACATGGCCCTGACCTTGGCTTCCAACTTCTGTTCCCTTGGCTCACATGGTTGTCAGAAGAGCTGTTCACATCCTTACACACCTTTTCTGGAATCAGAAAATTCTCCTTGGTTAAAAGTAGTTTTAAATGCTGGACTTACCAACATGAAATTTAGTCTTCTTCCAGATCTTGGCCTGGGAAATTCTTTACTACCTTATTTGGTCTCTAATGTATACAACCAGATCTTTAACAACAACAGCAACAATAAAACTTGCCTCATGTTTTCTGTTTTTCTCTATTAGAGAGTTGGTTTAGATTAGCCAATTTTCTATTATCAGAAAGTTCTTTCTGCTTCAAGTTATTATGGAATATTCTCTAAAATTGTCAAAAAGCACTAAGCCTAGAAAACTCATAGGGGAGTTTAGGTAAAGGTGTCAAAACAGAATATTAAAGTTTTGTGTTCACTATTCCAAAGCATGGAGAAAGGAGGAAGGCTTCCAAATTCTTTTCATAAAGCTAACGTCATTGATTCTGACACTTGACAATGGGAACATGCACATGTACAACGTGCACACACACAATTTCTGTGATCTTCAGCAATAATTACCATCTCCAGGAAAGTCATTTAGTCTTCCTGATTTTAGGGCACAATCCTCTTGAATTTGGCATTTCATATTCTCCAATTTAAAGGTTAAAAATTAAGTGACATGGCTGGGCACAGTGGCTCATGTCTATAATCCCAGTGCTTTGGGAGGCTGAAGCGGGCGGATCACTTGAGCCCAAGAGTTCAAGACCCGCCCTTAGCTGCATGGCAAAACTCCATCTCTACAAAAAAATTTTTTTAAAGTAGCCAGTTATAGTGGTGCACGCTTGTAGTTCCAGCTACTTGGGAGACTGAGACGGAAGGATTGTTTGAGCCTGAGAGGCAGAGGTTGCAGTGAGCCAAGATCTCACAACTGCACTCCAATCTGGATGACAGAGTGAGACCCTGCCTCAATCAATAAATAGATAATAAGTTAACAAAAAAGTACATCTGTGAAGAGTCTGAGCTAAATAAATGTTGGTTTTTCTTCATCCTAACCATTTGTCTAAATTGTAAGATTGAATGCAGTGTCCAGGTGCCCTGAGATTCCAGGTCCCCTGAGGGACTGAGTCTGTAGACATTGGGAGTAGATGTGTGTGGGTAAGCATGGGGGTGGTGTTCTCAGGAGCTGCACCAAGGCCAGTGCAGACCTTCAAGGAAAAGGTGGGGGACAGCAGATGAGACTGACATTTGGTCAGGCAAAGACTTCGTGGAGCGGGGAGAGTTGCATGCCTCTTGGTACTTGACTAATGCTTAGCTCCATTTCAGGCTCATGGGAGAAAAGCTGGGAAATGTTGCCAGAGGAATAAACATTGCCATTGTCAACTGTAAGTTATTAAATATTTTCTTTAAACTTCTCTAAAAGCTCTCTGGTCAGATTTGCAAAGGTACCTTGGGTTTTCAAGACTTTTGTACATGATTTAGGCTAGGTTTATATTTTAATGCATTTTAAAATTATATATTCAATTATTTTCACATGTCTCACTTCACAGATTATTTGTGGTTCTAACAACAAATAAACAACTGAAAACCAACTATAGATTTTATTTTAAAAAAAGGAAAAAACAGAGGGATAGGCCAAAGGTAGGGTTAAAACCAGAAGGGCCGCCAAAGGGGTGCAGACTGTGGTCCTGGACTGAGCCTCTCATTTGCTCCCAGAGTCCCAGTGTCTGCTTAGGGGCTGAGACCACAGACCATCTCATACTTCTGTGTGATAAAAGCCACTGCAGCCTCATGGGAAACAAAACCTGGCCTTTCTCTTAGGTCTGGAAAAAAGTTCTCTCACAGTTGCCATTGAGGGGCCCGGAGGAGAAGGAAAGGGTTTCCCACAACGTCCCTATGAGTGAGTGGACATATAGCCCCGAGACGCGAGGGCTGTGGAAGTGGAGATAAAATGCTCCTAGTCTGACAGCCCTGAAGGAGACTGTAAAGTAGGAAGTGAACAGGCTGAGTGGGCTCTGGTGTTCCTGTGGGTTGAGGCAGGTGGGCCTGGTTGAGGGGGGCGTCTGGTGTTTCTGTGGGATGAGGCAGGTCGGCCTGGCTGAGGGGGCTCTGGTGTTTCTGTGGGCTGAGGCGTGTGGGCCTGGCTGAGGGGGCTTTAGTGTTTCTGTGGGCTAAACTGCTTGGGCCTGGCTGAGCTGCTTGGGCCTGGCGGAGCAGACTCTGGTGTTTCTGTGGGATGAGGCGGTTGGGCCTGGCTGAGCAGACTCTGGTGTTTCTGTGGGATGAGGCGGTTGGGCCTGGCTGAGGGGACTCTGGTGTTTCTGTGGGATGAGGCGGTTATGCCTGGCTGAGCAGACTCTGGTGTTTCTGTGGGATGAGGCGGTTATGCCTGGCTGAGGGGACTCTGGGGATTCTGTGGGCAGAGGCGGATGGGCCTGGCTGAGGGGACTCTGGTGTTTCTGTGAGCTGAGGCGGTTGGGCCTGGCTGAGGGGACTCTGGTATTTCTGTGGCCTAAGGCAGATGGGCCTGGCTGAGGGGGCTCTGGTGATTCTGTGGGCTGAGGCGATTGGACCTGGCTGAGGGGGCTGTGGTGTTTCTGTGGGCTGAGCTGATTGCATCTGGCTGAGGGGACTCTGGTGTTTCTGTGGGCTGAGGCGGGTGGGCCTGGCTGAGGGGGCTCTGGTGTTTCTCTGGGATAAGGCGGGTGGGCCTGGCTGAAGGGACTCTGGTGTTTCTGTGGGCTGAGCTGGTTGGGCCTGGCTGAAGGGACTGTGGTGTTTCTGTGGGATGAGGCGGGTGTGCGTGGCTGAAGGGACTCTGGTGTCTCTGTGGGATGAGGCGGGTGGGCCTGGCTGAAGGGACTGTGGTGTTTCTGTGGGATGAGGCGGGTGTGCGTGGCTGAGGGGACTCTGGTGTTTCAGTGGGATGAGGCAGTTGGGCCTGGCTGAAGAGGCTCTGGTGTTTTTGTGGGCTGAAGCGGGTGGGTCTGACTGAGGGCACTCTGGTGTTTCTGTGGGCTGAGCTGGTTGGGCCTGGCTGAGGGGACTCTGGTGTTTCTGTGAGCTGAGGCGGTTGGCCCTGGCTGAGGGGACTGTGATGTTTCTGTGGGCTGAGGCAGATGGGCCTGGCTGAGGGGACTCTGGTGTTTCTGTGGGCTGAGGCGGTTGGACCTGGCTGAGGGGGCTGTGGTGTCTCTGTGGGATGAGGCGGTTATGCCTGGCTGAGGGGACTCTGGGGATTCTGTGGGCAGAGGCGGATGGGCCTGGCTGAGGGGACTCTGGTGTTTCTGTGAGCTGAGGCGGTTGGGCCTGGCTGAGGGGACTCTGGTATTTCTGTGGCCTAAGGCAGATGGGCCTGGCTGAGGGGGCTCTGGTGATTCTGTGGGCTGACGTGGTTGGGCGTGGCTGAGGGGACTCTGGTGTTTCTGTGCGCTGAGCTGTTTGGGCCTCGCTGAGAGAACTCTGGTGTTTCTGTGGTCTGAGGCGGTTGGGCCTGGCTGAGGGGACTCTGGTATTTCTGTGGGCTGAGGCGGTTGGCCCTGGCTGAGGGGACTGTGATGTTTCTGTGGGCTGAGGCGGATGGGCCTGGCTGAGGGGACTCTGGTGTTTCTGTGGGCTGAGGCGGTTGGACCTGGCTGAGGGGGCTGTGGTGTCTCTGTGGGATGAGTCGGGTGGGCCTGGCTGAAGGGACTCTGGTGTTTCTTTGGGCTCAGCTGGTTGGGCCTGGCTGAGGGGACTCTGGTGTTTCTGTGGGATGAGGCAGTTGGCCCTGGCTGAGGGGGCTTTTGTGTTTTTGTGGGCTGAGGCGGTTGGGACTGCTGAGGGGACGGTGTTTCTGTGGGCTGAGCTGGATGGGCCTGGCTGAGGGGACTCTAGTGTTTCTGTGGGCTGAGGCAGGTAGGCCTGGCTGAGGGGACTCTGGTATTTCTGTGGGCCAAGGTGGATGCTGGGGCTCTGTGCCTGAGGGGGGCCTGGCTGTGGGCTGGTGTTTCTGTGGGGCTGGGCTTGAGGGACTCTGGGTTGAGCTGGTTGGGCCTGGCTGAGGGGACTCTGGTGTTTCTGTAGGATGAGGCGGGTGTGCCTGGCTGAGGGGGCTCTGGTGTTTCTGTGGGCTGAAGTGGTTGGGCCTGGCTGATGGGGTTCTGGTGTTTCTGTGGGCTGAGGCGTTTGGGCCTGGCTGAGGGGGCTCTGGTGATTCTGTGGGCTGAAGTGATTGGGCCTGGCTGAGGGGGCTCTGGTGTTTCTGTGGGATAAGGCTTGTGGGCCTGGCTGAGGGTACTGTGGTATTTCTGTGGGCTGAGCTTGTTGGGCCTGGCTGAGGGGGCTGTGGTGTTTCTGTGGGATAAGGTGGGTGGGCCTGGCTAAAGGGACTCTGGTGTTTCTGTGGGCTGAAGTGGTTGGGCCTGGCTGATGGGGTTCTGGTGTTTCTGTGGGATGAGGTGGGTGTGCCTGGCTGAGGGTACTGTGGGTGGGTGGGGTGGCTGGGGGCTGTGGTGTTTCTGTGGGATAAGGCTTGTGGGCCTGGCTGAGGGTACTGTGGTGTTTCTGTGGGCTGAGCTTGTTGGGCCTGGCTGAGGGGACTCTGGTGTTTCTGTGGGATGAGGCAGGCAGGCCTGGCTGAGGGTACTGTGGTGTTTCTGTGGGCTAAGCTTGTTGGGCCTGGCTGAGGGGACTCTCGTGTTTCTGTTGGATGAGGCGGGTGGGTCTTTCTGAGGGGGTTGTGGTGTTTCTGTTGGCTGAGGTGGTTTGGCCTGGCTGAGGGCACTCTGGTGTTTCTGTGGGCTGACGTGGTTGGGCGTGGCTGAGGGGACTCTGGTGTTTCTGTGCGCTGAGCTGTTTGGGCCTCGCTGAGAGAACTCTGGTGTTTCTGTGGTCTGAGGCGGTTGGGCCTGGCTGAGGGGACTCTGGTATTTCTGTGGGCTGAGGCGGTTGGGCCTGGCTGAGGGGACTCTGGTGTTTCTGTGGGATGAGGCAGGTGGGCCTGGCTGAATGGGCTCTGGTGATTCTGTGGGCTGCGGCGATTGGACCTGGCTGAGGGGGCTGTGGTGTTTCTGTGGGCTGAGCTGATTGCGTCCGGCTGAGGGGACTCTGGTGTTTTTGTGGGCTGAGGCAGTTGGGACTGCTGAGGGGACTGGTGTTTCTGTGGGCTCAGCTCGTTGGGCCTGGCTGAGGGAACTCCGGTGTTTCTGTGGGCTGAGGCGGGTAGGCCTGGCTGAGGGGACTCTGGTATTTCTGTGGCCTCAGGCAGATGGGCCTGGCTGAGGGGGCTCTGGTGATTCTGTGGGCTGAGGCGATTGGACCTGGCTGAGGGGGCTGTGGTGTTTCTGTGGGCTGAGCTGATTGCATCTGGCTGAGGGTACTGTGGTATTTCTGTGGGCTGAGGCGGGTGGGCCTGGCTGAGGGGGCTGTGGTGTTTCTGTGGGATAAGGTGGGTGGGCCTGGCTAAAGGGACTCTGGTGTTTCTGTGGGCTGAGCTCGTTGGGCCTGGCTGAGGGGACTCTGGTGTTTCTGGGGGCTGAGGCGGTTGGACCTGGCTGAGGGGCCTCTGGTGTTTCTGTGTGCTGAGGCGGTTGGACCTGGCTGAGGGGGCTGTGGTGTTTCTGTGGGCTGAGATGGGTAGGTCTGGCTGAGGGGGCTTTGGTGTTTTTGTGGGCTGAGGCAGTTGGGACTGCTGAGGGGACTGGTGTTTCTGTGGGCTGAGCTGGATGGGCCTGGCTGAGGGAACTCTAGTGTTTCTGTGGGCTGAGGCAGGTAGGCCTGGCTGAGGGGACTCTGGTATTTCTGTGGGCCAAGGTGGATGGGCCTGCCTGAGGGGGCTCTGGTGTTTCCGTGGGCTGAGGTGGTTGGGCCTGGCTGAGGGGACTCTGGTGTTTCTGTAGGATGAGGCAGGTGGGCCTGGCGGAGGGGGCTCTGGTGTTGCTGTGGGCGGAGGTGGTTGGGCCTGACTGAGGGGGCTGTGGTGTTTCTGTGGGCTGAGGCAGGAGGCCCTGGCTGTGGGGGCTGTGGTGTTTCTGTGGGATGAGGCAGGTGGGCCTGGCTGAGCGGACTCTGGTATTTCTCTGGGTTGAGCTAGTTGGGCCTGGCTGAGGGGACTCTGGTGTTTCTGTAGGATGAGGCGGGTGTGCCTGGCTGAGGGGGCTCTGGTGTTTCTGTGGGCTGAAGTGGTTGGGCCTGGCTGATGGGGTTCTGGTGTTTCTGTGGGCTGAGGCGTTTGGGCCTGGCTGAGGGGGCTCTGGTGTTTCTGTGGGATGAGGCGGGTGTGCCTGGCTGAGGGGGCTCTGGTGTTTCTGTGTGGTGTAGTAGGTGGGTGTGGCTGATGGGGCTCTGGTGTTTCTGTGGGCTGAAGTGATTGGGCCTGGCTGAGGGGACTCTGGTGTTTCTGTGGGATAAGGCTTGTGGGCCTGGCTGAGGGTACTGTGGTGTTTCTGTGGGCTGAGCTTGTTGGGCCTGGCTGAGGGGACTCTGGTGTTTCTGTGGGATGAGGCAGGCGGGCCTGGCTGAGGGTACTGTGGTGTTTCTGTGGGCTAAGCTTGTTGGGCCTGGCTGAGGGGACTCTCGTGTTTCTGTTGGATGAGGCGGGTGGGTCTTTCTGAGGGGGCTGTGGTGTTTCTGTTGGCTGAGGTGGTTTGGCCTGGCTGAGGGCACTCTGGTGTTTCTGTGGGCTGACGTGGTTGGGCGTGGCTGAGGGGACTCTGGTGTTTCTGTGCGCTGAGCTGTTTGGGCCTCGCTGAGAGAACTCTGGTGTTTCTGTGGTCTGAGGCGGGTGGGCCTGGCTGAGGGGACTCTGGTGTTTCTGTGGGCTGAACTGGTTGGGCCTGGCTGAGGGGGCTCTGGTGTTTCTGTGGGCTGAGGTGGGTGGGTCTGGCTGAGGGCTGTCTGATGTTTCTGTGGGCTGAGGCAGTTGCGCCTGTCTGAGGGGGCTGTGCTGTTTCTGTGGGATGAGGCGGTTGGGTGTGAATGAGGGGGCTCCAGTGTTTCTGTGGACTAAGGTGATTGGGCCTGGCTAAGGGGATTGTGGTGTTTCTGTGGGATAAGGCGTGTGGGCCTGGCTGAAGGGACTCTGGTGTTTCTGTGGGCTCAGCTGGTTGGACCTGGCTGAGGGCACTCTGGTGTTTCTGTGGGCTGAGGCGGTTGGGCCTGGCTGAGGAGGCTCTGGTGTTTCTGTGGGCTGAGGTGGTTGGACCTGGCTGAGGGGACTCTGGTGTTTCTGTGGGATGAGGCAGGTAGGCCTGGCTGAGGGGGCTCTGGTGTTTCTGTGGGCTAAACTGATTGAGCCTGGCTGAGGGGACTCTGGTGTTTCTGTGGGCTTAGGCGGTTGGGCCTGGCTGAGGGGGCTCTGTTGTTTCTGTGGGATGATGCGGTGTCTGTTTGAGAGGGGTGTCTGGTGTTTCTCTGAGAAGAGGTGGGTGGGCCTGTGTGAGGTGTCTCTGGTGTTTCTGTGGGACGAGGTGGGTGGGGGAGTTATTAGTGTTCCATCAATTGTCACGTGAAGCAAACTGGTAGAAAGTTCTAGCACATCTTCCAGCACTTTCCTGTGATCTTGTTTTGGGGACTCTCCTCAAAGGGCCAGCCGTGTCTCTGCAGGCCGGATCATTACATCAGTGGGGTTTCCTTGAGATTGACAGGGAAGAAATATTTCCTTCCCCAGGCCCTGGTGTCACAAGTGTGCCCTAGTTCTGTGAACTTTCCTTTAAAATACTATTTCTTTCATTTTCAGATGTAACTGGGAATGTGACAGCAACACAACATTTTGATATGTATGAAGGTGGTAAGAAAATTTTTTCTGTTAAAATTCAAATGAATTTTAAACATAAAATTAAGATTACAAAGCACAAAGAAAAATGTCAACCATTTTTATTTTGTCTACTAGAAAAATGCCAGCAGCTCTCCTGAGTAATCTAGTGTGGTCTTATGTAGATCCTCTTAAACTCTAATTGAATTCATAGAACATTTGAAGGCATCATCTACAAATGTCTTTTCTTCTGTTAGTTTTCTTCAGTCTTTCTCTTTTTAGCTCTCATGATATAATAAGAAAGAGAAAAAGCCTTTAAAAAAAAAAAAAAAGCCGGTCGGGCACTGTGGCTCACGCCTGTAATTCCAGCACTTTGGGAGGCTGAGGCAGGCAGATCACGAGGTTAGGAGATTGAGACCATCCTGGCCAACAGGGTGAAACCCCGTCTCTACTAAAAATACAAAAAATTAGCCAGGCATGGTGGCGGGCACCTGTAGTCCCAGCTACTCGGGAGGCTGAGGCAGGAGAATGGCGTAAACCCGGGGGGCGGAGCTTGCAGTGAGCTGAGATCCGGCCACTGCACTCCAGCCCGGGCGACAGAGCCAGACTCCGTCTCAAAAAAAAAAAAAAAAAAAAAAAAAAAAAACAAATACAAATACAGTCACCAGCATCCAGCCCTAAATACCATCATCCTTTGAAAGCTGTCACAATTACTCCTGGTGACTCACAGTGCTCTGCTGGGCGCAGCACAAGAATTCCCGGAACCCACGGGTGCCCAGTCTCTCTCGATGGTCTCTCCTTTCTGGGCACTGACTCTTGACTACAGTTGCTGGCCAGGATATACTATCCCCTCTTATTTTTATATATCACTGAGACTGTCAAAAACAAGCTTTTATAAAGATAGTGAAGACAAAGAATAGAAAACGCCTGCACCCACCCAATGAGAAGGACACAGTTGTACCCTGCAGTTAACCTAAGCAAAACAGTAAATAATGAGCCACAGTGGTGAGTAACAGGGTTTGTGGTTTATCTTTATTTTATAAGGCATAGATAAGTCTCTTGGCACAGACTTGCCCATGTTCCACACGTCTCATGTTTGAGTTCTGTGTGAGTCTGTCTTCTGCACAGGGAGGTGTGATTGCAAGGCTGCTCTGCTCAGTGGTCATGGTGTGGGTGTGGCGCTTTATCAGTGACTGCAGAGAACACTCCACCTGTGCCACACAGGCTGCTGCTTGTTAAGAGTTTGGTTAATATAATCTTTATGATCTCATTTCTAAGGAGGGTTTTTTTTCTTTTTCTACCAGAGGCTCTACTTCTCTTGTTTGTTGGTCAAAAAAAAGCTCCTTATCTTGACCCCCTTTCACTACCACCCTGAACACCTATTGCAAGTGTTCTGCCTAGTTCTTTTCCTTCTACACTGTGCCACTCACCTCAGATAGTCCCCATGGTACCCAGTGAATGTTCACATATCCAGAGCTAGCACATCATCTGCAGAGTTGAGCAGCAAGAAGAACCCCAAGGATTCAGAGTGGACACAGAATGCAGGTGCAGGAGGAAGCCCAGCACCCAAGGCAGAGCCTCAGTGAATAGCAAAGACCCTAAAACTGACTTGCATCCCCCAATAGATAACTCTGGACCGATGATAAAGTTTATTCAGAGTGCTCCTCCAAAATCCCTGCTCTTCATGGTGACCTATGACGACGGAAGCACAAGGTGAGTGGGTGTAGATGTGTCACAGCGGTGGGCAAGAGAAGCCAGCTGGGACAGAGACTGCCAGGGCCTCTTAGTGACATCCCCTGGGGAGAAGTAGAAAGTCCAGGAGCAAAGTACTTCTCTAAGGAAAAAGAATGAAAGATCATGACAAAATAGATGGCATTTCTTTAAAAAAAATTACATCACTAACTACAGAAGTACTAGAATCTAAATCAAAGGAGTATTTCAAGGAATCAAGACAAAGCCGCTGTTGACCATAATTAGGACAGAAAAAATAACCTCTGGACAGAAAGCCTAAACCCAGGGTGGCATTAATACTTACAGCAATGTGAAAGGAAATTGAGATAATTTCCCTATAGAAATAGGAAAAGAGGCTGGGCGCAGTGGCTTACACCTGTAATCCCAGCACTTTGGGAGGCCGAGGTGGGCAGATCACGAGGTCAAGTGTTCGAGACCATCCTGGCCAACATGGTGAAACCTCATCTCTACTAAAAATAAAAAAAATTAGCCAGGCTTGGTGGCACGCACCTGTAGTCCCAGGTACTCGGGAGGCTGAGGCAGGAGAATCACTTGAACCCAGGAGGCACAGGTTGCAGTGAGCCGAGATCGCACCACTGCACTCCAGCCTGGTGACAGAGTGAGATTCTGTCAAAAACAAAAACAAAAAAACACACACACACAGAAGAAGAGAATAAAGAAATACGAACATACACATTCAATACTGTACTAGAAGTGGATGTAGGTCAGTGCTTCTCAGAGTGTATCTTACTAAGTAAACCAAACCTTTGTCTTTGCTGCAGAATGTCTAAGAACCTTCAAAGTGCTTATTTGCATTGTGAATTTCCCAGATAGGGCTACTGACCACAGCGTTTCCCAAATGTATCTGACCTCAGATTCCTTTTTTCATGGAGCATCTTACCAAACCGAAGTTCCTTAGCACATACTTTGAAAAACTCTGATTTCACTCACTTAGAACAATCTAAACTTAACTGTTTACTTTCCTGTCTACCCTCCTGTCACTTCCTCTAAATCTTACTGTTTGCAGTGGCAGTATTGTTTACATTTCTTTTTCCTTTTTGATGCAGACTTTTCTGATTATGAAAAGGGGGTAGTTTTGACATTTGCTTTCATCTTTCAGCAACTTCTCTCCACCTTATTTTGTGGTCAGTAAACAAGGGGCAGAGCAATAGCCAAAAATTGTGTTGGCTGAGAGTGGGCCTGTGATTGAACCCCAAAGCACAAGGGCTTTCCAGAATTGAGAGGTAGAATTCTGTGTCCCAAATTGGGGTCTAAAATGGCTCTGGATGTCCAATGGTTAACTAGAAATGTGACATCCTCAAGAAGCACGTGTGCCTCTTAGCTGCCACTGTGTGTCATGCACTGCAGCAGGAGATAAATGTGTTTAGAAACCTCCGTCCAAGGACGCACAGTGTAATACACCCAGAGCAGGGCTCCACTCCCCTCCACATCTCCCTGAGATGCTCACATGCTTTTACCTTTGTCCCGCAGACTGAATAATGATGCAAAGAATGCCATAGAAGAACTTGGAAGTAAAGAAATCAGGAACATGAAATTCAGGTCTAGCTGGGTATTTCTTGCAGCAAAAGGCTTTGAACTCCCTTCCGAAATTCAGAGAGAAAAGGTGAGTGGTTTTTAAATGTCCCTTCCCACCAGTGGTGAGTATAGTAAGTGCTGTGACTTGAAAACATTCTGGTGGTAATGTTATAACTCCCTGTCTCCAAACATAAGAGTTTTGTCAACTGTTTCCATGAGATCAGCATTAGATCCGGACAGAAGTTTCAAACTTCTCCAATCTCTTTCAAAGTAGAAAATTCTGAATGGGCTGTTGGTATTGATTTTTCACCATGCTGCAGCCAACGTGGTCTGTCCTGGGCCTCTTCTTCCTTGGGCAGGAGGTTTACCTCCCCAAGCCCCTGCTACGGGGAAAGTGAGAGAGCTCACCTCTTAAGATGGCTGAGAGCATGAACAGACAGGGTGAACGCCAAACATGCAGAAGAGGCTGGACACCAAATCAATGCTGCACACATGTGCACGATTGATTCTAAGTCCCTCCCTTTATGACCTTTATTTATCAAAGAGAAGTAAAGAGCAAAAAATGACGTTCTTACTTACCAACCACTAAGTCTCCTGTGAAAATTCCAACTGAGGGTTTGTAAAATGTGTGGGAGTAACAAGCTGAGCATCCGATGACAATCATGACGTCCTGGAGAATGTCAGAGAGTTCTCCTCTCCAGGAAATGATGCTGCGGTAACCGGTGCAGAAGAGGAGGAAATTGTGCTGCATGGCCAAGGAGCAAGCGCTCCCCATTATACCTTCTGAGGATAAGGGCCTCCTTTCCACTTAGCTAGAAATTCCAAGAAAGCAGAGATTTCTACGTCTCCAGGGTGTGCAGTAGGCTGCTTCTGATTTCAGGCTCTGACATTTGGTCCTAGTCTGCCTCCTTGTGCTGTCTGGTGTGGATACAGTTCTGGGAAGAAAGACAAGCAACAGAAGCAGCTCAGCATCTTCTTGTTGCCATGACCACCTGAGGTGGAGGAGAAGGGGCCTGTATAAGGTGTGACTTCAGTGCAGGCCACACAACCAGATAACTTGTGACTAGTTCCCAGGAAACCCTAGACCTTCTGTGACCCCCTCTAGTCTCATGTTCTGGAGGCTGGAAACCATGGTTATTTTAGCATGCATCTAAACAAGCATGTTTTGCCCCTGTGACTTCATATTCCTCTAGAGCCAGGAAGTCAGCCCTGCAGAACATGTAGGGAATGTTTCCCAGGGCCCTGGCCTCGACCCCTCCTTGCTTATGATTGTGCCTGGGCACTTGCTTATACAGTGAGCTGTCATGGGTCTGCCCTAACAAGAGAGGCACTCTCTGAGCTCTGATTGGTGGGGCTTCTTGGGCCCCACCACTGCCTGGACCCACATTGAGGGCAAGCTGAACCAGCCACACAACAGGGAAGCAGGGGCTTGGGATCCTGTGTTAGTTTTGCGAGGGGACATCATGTGATCTTAAGTCACGTCACCTCTCTGGGCTCCAGCTTTCCTGCCTCCTCCAGGGCCAGCAGCTGTGCTGCGGTGTGCACCCCATTCTCCCCGGGATTTCCTCAGGCCGACCCTGGGGAGCGAATACTCGGCCCTCTTCTCTCCGATCCCTTGTGTGATTGTGCCACAGGCTGGCATCTTCAGAACGTCCAGGCTTTATCCACCTGGCTGTGTGGTCTTGGAAGGTTATCTACCCCTTTGTGCTTAGAATCATCACCTGTGAGAGGTGAATAAAGATAGTTCCTGTCACAGAAGGACTCCTGAAGATGAAAGAAGATAAACACATGAAGCTCAGAGTGGAGTCCTGTAACCCAGAACAGCTGGGCCTTCCTGGAGCTCCCCGGCTGGGGTGGTTAGATAATGGAGGCCCTGGTTCCACATACATACCCACACTTCCCCTTAACAGCGTCCTCCGACTTCTCTGCTCCTTCCCCACTTTTACCCTGTTCCTCCTCCTCCTCTTTCCCTCCTTCCCAGCTCCACAGTCCCCTTCAGCATCTCCAGGGGCCTTGTCCTACCTTATCTAACCACCCCAGCTTATTTAACCAGCAAGGGTGACAGTGAGCAGGTACTCCTGGCAGCCGGGGCGTTGTGCCACACAGGGATCAGCCCATGCACGCGAGCATCCGTGGTTATTATTACTACCAATGCTGCAGTTCTCCAGCTTATTTATGAGAGTGTCCAGACTGTATCAGAAAGGCGGGGGTGTGAGGCTGAAATTCTTTTTAACTCAAATGTTAACATCTCATCAAACAGGTTCTTTATTAATGTTTAGCTAAGTAATAGAAAACAAAAACCTCATTGGAATTGCACAGAGATAGTGGTGGTCCTTCCTTATGATTTCCTTCATATGAAAGAGTTTCTGGAATGGGAGAAATCAAGAGAAAGACTGGATGTCACAGGACTGAATTTAGAAAAGGAATGTGTTTGGAAATGGCGGCTCCAAGTGAATTTCAGGAAAATGCCTGTTTTGCCCACTTGTGTCAGCTAAAAGTTATCCAAGTTACTACAGGAGTATAAAGATGAGACCTGAACATAGCAAGCAGTCAGTGCTGGAGAGTTTAGAGTTGCTCTGGTTCAGGGGCGCTAAAGGATGTTTGCTTAAATGTTGGCGAGGCCTGGACTGGTAGCCAGGGCTTCAAGACAGGTCTTACCACGAGCTTGAGACAAGTGCCATTGAAGGAACCATTTGTGTCTGTGTTACTTTGGCTATTCAGACTTGCAGGTGATATATTTCCCTAAGGATGGTGTACCCATGTTGGGAGGGCCTCCTGAGTCCTCAGGGGTCTCCCCAGCCCCCTGTTCACTCCCACTCCACCTGCTATTCCAGGAGTCGGCTTTCTAGGCACAGTGCCTGGGCCACTCTCATGCAGAGCCTTTAATGACCCCACTACCTGCTGAATTGAATTTTAAAGTACAAGGAACTTCAAAGATTATTCCATCCAACCTCTTGGTTTTATAGGAGGAAGGAAACTGAGAAATAAATAAGGACAGGAGTCTTGGAAGTGAGGATAACCTGGTTCAGATCTGGACTTGGCCACCCTGACTGCATGACCTGAGGTTGGCACTTCATAGGCCTGAGCCTCTTCTGCACCCTGAACTGTGGGTAGCGGAGCCTGCCTTGCTCCATGACAAGCACGACACAGCAGGAGGAGCCATCATTCTCATCATCTCCAGCATGGTCTGAGTCTTGTCCCTGGTGATCCTAACTGGAGCACAGACCCTTGTCTTGAGCCCCACTCAGCCCCTCCCATGCTTTGTGTGCTCAGCACCCCAGCAAAGCCTCATGAGTGGCTGCTCTTCCCACACCCTGCAGCGCATATGCTTGTTCTGTTCAGGTCTCGTCTTTACACTCCTGCAGTAACTTTCCACGTGTGGACCTCTGCACCTGCCTCCCTCCGTGCAAGGGGTGCCTTCTCAAAGCCACCTTAAAGATCCACCTCAAGGCTGTTTCTTCTGAGAAGCCTCTCTGGCCCTGCCACCACTGCCGGTAATGCCCTTGGCATTTTGTACCTTCCCTGAGAGGGCATGCAGTACTTTGCATTGTTGTTATTTGCCTTTTCATGCTTGGATTGCTAGCTTTTAAAGGCAGGAGCCACCTTTTAAGATTTCCAGAGTCTCAACAATGAATACATTAATCTGAAGGGTGTTTTTAAGAAGGGATATATAAGACAAGTGGGATTTATCCCAGACATACAAAGTTGGCTTAACATCCAAAAATCAGTCAATGTAATGTGTACAACATTAATAGAATGAAAAGCAAAACAACGTGACTATCTTAACAGACACAGAAAAAAAATTTTGACAAATTCAACACCCCTTTACGATAAAGAACATTCAACAAACTAAACGTAAAAGAGAATTTACTCCTAGCTAATAGCATACTTGATGGTGAAAACCAGAATGTTTTTTCTCTAATATCAGCAATGAGGCAAGGATATTCATCATTGATACATTTTTCAACATTGTAGTGGAGATTCTAAGAAGGAAGGGAGGGGAAAGAGAGGGAGACAGAAGGAAGGGAAGGGAGGAAGGCAGGAAGGGGTGAGAAGGAAGGAAGGGAAGGGAAGGGAGAAAAAGAAAGAAAAAAAAGAGGAAAGGAAGGAGAAGGAAAGAGAAAGAAAGAAAGGAAGGAAAGAAGGAAGGAAGGAAGGAAGGAAGGAAGGAAGGAAGGAAGGAAGGAAGGAAGGAAGGAAAGAAGGAAGGAAGGAAAGGGAGAGAAGAAAGAGAAGAAAGATCTGTTGTCACATTAGAAAGGAAGAAGTAGACCGGGTGCAGTGGCTCACGCCTGTAATCTATCTAGCACTTTGGGAGGCCAAGGCAGGCAGATCATGAGGTCAGGAGTTCAAGACCAGCCTGGCCAACATGGTGAAATCCCATCTCTACTAAAAATACAAAAAATTAGCCAGGCATGGTGGCAGGTGCCTGTAATCCCAGCTACTCAGGAAGCTGAAGCAGGAGAATCGCTTGAAACCAGAAGGCAGAGGTTGCAGAGCCAAGATAGTGCCACTGCATTCCAGGCTGGGCAACATGAGTGAAACTCCATCTCAAAAATAAATAAATAAATAAATAAATAAATAAATAAATAAATAAAACTATTTCTGTTTACAGATGACATGATTTTTATATATATTAGGCTGATGCAAAAGTAATTGCACCAACTTAATAGAAATCCTAAGAAGTCCACTAAAATACTATTTGAACTTATATCAAGTTTAGCAAAGTTGCAGGACACAAAAATCAATGTAAAAACTCAATTATACTTCTCTTTACTTGCAATGAACAACCTGAAAATGAAATTCAGAAAGCAATTATAACAGTATCAAAAAAATAAAATACCTAGGAATAAAGTTAACATAGGAGATGCAAGACTAGTACACTGAAAACAGTAAAACACGTTGAAAGAAATTGAGGACCTAAAAAAAAGATATTCCATGTTCATGGGTCAGAAATTTTAATATTGTTAAGATCTCAATACTGTATTAATTGATCTACAGATTTAACACAATTCCTACTAGAATCCAAGTTGATATCTTTTGTAGAAATTGAAAAGTTTATCCTAAAATTCATATGGAAATTCAAGAGACCCAAATAACAAAAACATCTTTTTAATGTTCTTGAAAAAGAACAAAGTTGCAGGGCTCACATGTCCCAATTTCAAAACATAACACAAAGCTGCTGTGATTGAGATACTGTCACTCTGGCATAAAGATAGGCATACAGAGAAATTAAATAGAATTTAGACTCCAGCAGATGTGCATGTTCTCACATTTTTGATCAATTCACTTTAGACAAGAGTGCCAAGATTATTTAATGGGGAATGAATCATCTCTGCAACAAATGGTATTGGGAAAGCTGGATATTCACATGGAAAAGAATAGATTTGGACCCTACCTCACACTATATACAAAAATTAAGTAACAGTAAACCGAATATGTAAATTGAAGTGCTAACACTATTAAACTCTTAGAGGAAAACAGAGGCATAAATTTTTGTGACTTTGGTTTAAGCAATGGTTTCTTAGTTATGACATCACTAACAACAAAAGAAGGAGAATAAAATACTTCAAAGAGAATAAAATACCTAGGAATCCAACTTACAAGGGATGTGAAAGACCTCTTCAAGGAGAACTACAAACCACTGCTCAATGAAATAAAAGAGGACACAAACAAATGGAAGAACATTCCATGCTCATGGATAGGAAGAATCAATAACGTGAAAATGGCCATACTGCCCAAGGTCATTTATAGATTCAATGACATCCCCATTAAGCTACCAATGACTTTCTTCACAGAATTGGAAAAAACTACTTTAAAGTTAATATGGAACCAAAAAGGAGCCCGCATTGCCAAGACAATCCTTAGCCAAAAGAACAAAGCTGGAGGCATCACACTACCTGACTTCAAACTATACTACAAGGCTACAGTAACCAAAACAGCATGGTACTGGTACCAAAACAGACATATAGACCAATGGAACAGAACAGCGCCCTCAGAAATAATACCACATATCTACAACCATCTGATCTTTGACAAACCTGACAAAAACAAGAAATGGGGAAAGGATTCCCTATTTAATAAATGGTGCTGGGAAAACTGGCTAGTCATATGTAGAAAGCTAAAACTGGATCCCTTCCTTACACCTTATACAAAAATTAATTCAAGATGGATTAAAGACTTAAATGTTGGACCTAAAGCCATAAAAACCCTAGAAGAAAACCTAGGCATTACCATTCAGGACATAGGCATGGGCAAGGACTTCATGTTTAAAACACCAAAAGCAATGGCAACAGAAGCCAAAATTGACAAATGGGATTTAATTAAACTAAAGAACTTCTGCACAGCAAAAGAAACTACCATCAGAGTGAGCAGGCAACCTACAGAATGGGAGAAAATTTTTGCAATCTATTCATCTGACAAAGGGCTAATATCCAGAATCTACAAAGAACTCAAACAAATTTACAAGAAAAAAATGACCCCATCAAAAAGTGAGTGAAGGATATGAACAGACCCTTCTCAAAAGAAGACATTTATGCAGGCAACAGACACATGAAAAAATGCTCGTTATCACTGGTCACCAGAGAAATGCAAATCAAAACCACAATGATATACCATCTCACACCAATTAGAATGGCAATCATTAAAAAGTTAGGAAACAACAGGTGCTGGAGAGGATGTGGAGAAATAGGAACACTTTTACACTGTTGGTGGGACTGTAAACTAGTTCAACTATTGTGGAAGACAGTGTGGCGATTCCTCAAGGATCTAGAACTAGAAATACCATTTGACCCAGCCATCCCATTACTGGGGATATACCCAAAGGATTATAAATCATGCTGCTATAAAGACACATGCACACGTATGTTTATTGTGGCACTATTCACAATAGCAAAGACTTGGAACCAACCCAAATGTCTATCAATGATAGACTGGATTAAGAAAATGTGGCACATATACACCATGGAATACTATGCAGCCATAAAAAAGATGAGTGCATGTCCTTTGTAGGGACATGGATGAAGCTGGAAACCATCATTCTCAGCAAACTATCACAAGAACAGAAAACCAAACACTGCATGTTCTCACTCATAGGTGGGAATTAAACAATGAGAACACTTGGACACAGGAAGGGGAACATCACACACCAGGGCCTGTCGTGGGGTAGGGGGAGGGGGGAGGGATAGCATTAGGAGATATACCTAATGTAAATGATGAGTTAATGGGTGAAGCACACCAACATGGCACATGTATACATATGTAACAAACTTGCATGCTGTGCACATGTACCCTAGAACTTAAAGTATAATAATAAAAAAAAAAAGAAAAGTAAGTTGCCCTTCAGCAAATTAAAACTTTTGTCCTTCCAGCAAAATAATCTATCAACTGAATAAACAGACAACCTTTAGAATGGGAGAAAATTTTTGCAAATTATGCATCTAACAAAGGTCTAATATCCAGCATCTGTAAGGAACTTAAACAAATTTACCAAAAAAAATCCCATTAATAAGACAAAGGGCATGAACAGACGTTTCTCAAAAGAAGATATTCATGTGGCCATCAAGCGTATGAAAAAAAGCTCAGCATCACTGATCATTAGAGAAATGCACATCAAAACCACAATGGGATGCCATCTCACACCAGTCAGAATGGCTGTTATTAAAAAGTCAAAAAATAACAGATGCTAGCAAGGTTGTAGAGAAAAAGGAATGCTTTTACACTGTTGGTGGAAGTGTAAATTAGTTCAACCATTGTGGAAGACGTGGCAATTCCTCAGAGACCTAAAGACAGAAATACTATTCGACCAGCAATCCCCTTACTGGGAATATTCCTAACAAATTATATTTGTTATAAGTAAAATTTAATATTCAAAAAACAAAGGAATGTAAACTGTTATATCATAAAGACACATGAACACGTATGTTCATTACAAAACTATCCACAATAGCAAAGACATGGAGTCAACCCAAATGCCCATTGAAGATAGACTGGATAAAGAAAATGTGATACATGTACGTCATGAAATAATATGCAACCATAAAAAAGAATGAGATAATGTTCTTTGCAGGGACATGTATGGAGCTGGAGGCCATTATCTTTAACAAACTAATGCAGGAACAGAAAATCAAGTGTCACATGATCCCACTGATAAGTAGGAGCTAAATGATGAAAACACACTATCACATGGAGCGGAACAACACACAACAGAGGGGCCTATCAGAGGCTGGAAGGTGGGAGGAGGGAGAGAATCAGGAAAAATAACTAATGGATACTAGGCTTAATACCTGGATGATGAAATAATCTGTACAACAAACCCCCATGATGCATGTTTACCTATGAACAAACCTGCACATCCTGCACATGTACCCCTGAACTTAAAGGTTAAAAAAAAAACACTTTTGTGCTTCAAAGGACACCTTCTAGAAAGTGAAAGATAAACCACAGAATGGGAGAAAATATTTGCAAATAAGGGACCTGAATCTAGAATACATAAAGAACTCTTACAGCTCAATAATAAAAAGACAAGCCAATTTAAAAATGGACAAAGATCTGAATAGATGTTACTTCAAAGAAGATATACAAATGATCAATAAGCACACGAAAAGAAACTCAACATCATTCGTTTTCAGAAAAACACAAATCAAAACCATAATGAGATACCCCCTAACACTTACTAGGTTGGCTATGATTTTTAAAAAGACATAATATGAAGTGCTGGTGAGAATATGGAGAAATTAGAACCCTCATGCACTAGTGGAGGAAATGTAAAATGGTACAGCTGCTTTGGGAAACATTCTGGCAGTTCCTCAAAAAGTTAAACATACAGTGACCCTATGACCCAACAATTACACTTGTTTGTATATACCCAAGAGAATGAAAACATAGGTCCACACAGAAACTTGTGCACACATAACATCATTTATAATAGCCAAAAAATGGAATCAACCCAAATGTCTGATTAATGGCTAAGAAATGTATATATAAAATATGGTATAGCCATACAATGGAATATATTGAAATACATAAAGAAATAAAGTTCTGATACATGCTACAATATGGATGAACCTTGAAAACAGGCTAAGTGAAACAAACAAATACACACAAAAGGTCACATATTGTGTGATTCCATTTATATGAAATTTCCAGAATGAGAGGATCCACAGAGTCAGAAAGGAGATTCGTGGCTGCCTAGGGTGGGGGGAAAGGAGATTCGTGGCTGCTAATGGGTACATGGCTTCTTGTTTGGGTGATGAAAATGTTTTAAAATTGACCATGGTGATGGTTGCACAGCTCTGTGACCATACTAAAACCATTGAATTACAGACTTTACATTGGTGGATTTTATACTATGTGAATTATATCCCAGTAAAGCTGTTATATAAAAAGGGATAATATTACTAGAATTCCAAGGTTATTAATAAAATGCACCTTACTTTATTTAAGCATCAAGTTAAGGTGCTCTATTATCTGTGAAAGAGTTGAAGATATAGAGGACTAAACCCACTTCAGGATGAATACACATTTGCTGAGCAAGGAACTCTGCAAGAACTCTGGGAAAAAAAATACATACGCGCACACACACACACACACACATATATAAACATGTAGTTTTATCCCCAGAGTTGAAAACTAAACATTAGAGCTACACTGTCCAATATGATACCTACTAGCTAAATTTACATTTTATACTTAAATTCATTAAAATTAAATAGAATTCAAATTTTGGTTTATCAGTTGCACTATTCACGTTTAAAGTACAGATGCTCTTCAGCTTACATCCCAATAAAAGCATCGTATTTGAAAATATTGTAAATTGAAAATGCATTTAGCATACCTAACCTATCAAAGATAATAGCTTAGCTTAGCTTACCTTAAACATGCTCAAAACACTTAACAGTAGACTGCAGTTGGCAAAATCACCTAACACAAAGCCTATTTTACAATAAAGTGTTGAGAGTCTCATGGAATTATTGAACACTGTACTGGAAGTGAAACACAGAATGGTTATGTGGGTCCTCGGAGTATAGTTTCTACTGAATGCATTACCTCCTTTGCACCATTGTAAAGTCAAACCACCATGAGTTGGGGACCATCTGTACTCCATAACCTACTGTGGCTATGGGCTACTCCACCAAATAGGTAGATTATAGAACATTTTCATCATTGCAGAAAGTTCTACAGCCGTATTAACAACTGCTTCAAATATTGTTAAAAAACAGGATATAAATATACAGTTAGAAGAAATAAGACATAGTGTTCAATAGATCGTTAGAGCACCTGTAGTTTAAAATCATCTATCATACATTTCAAAATAGAGGAGAATAATTTGAATGTACCTCTCATAAAGAAAAAGTAATTTAAGGTGATGGATATCCCAGTTACCCTGATACACATGATATGGATATATCACATTATCACATATACCCCAAAAATATGTACATCTATTATATATTAATTTAAATTTAAAAATATATTATTAAGAAATGTATTGGAAATCAAACACCCAGCTTTGGTTGGAGCAAATTCACATCTAGGAAGTGGCTGTGTCTGCTCACAGCTGACACTGATTAAATACTTGTTTATTAGATTAATGAATAAATAAAACTCTTCTTTTCTCTACACAGATCAACCACTCTGATACTAAGAACAACAGATATTCTGGCTGGCCTGCAGAGATCCAGATAGAAGGCTGCATACCCAAAGAACCAAGCTGACACTGCAGGGTCCTTAATAAATGTGTTCTGTATAAACAAATGCAGCTGGAATCGCTCAACAATCTTATTTTTCTAAATCCAACAGTCCATAGTTGATGAGTATTTTGGGTTTGTTGTAAACCAATGAACATTTGCTAGTTGTATCAAATCTTGGTACACAGTATTTTTATACCAGTATTTTATATAGTGAAGATGTCAGTTAGCAGGAAACTAAAACGAATGGAAATTCTTAAAGGTAATGATGTGATTCAAGCTGGAAAGAGGGTTGGGTGAAACAATTTGTCCAGGTGGAGCTATGTTATGATCAGATCTAAGTGTGACCCCTGTGTGGTCCAGACAGCTCTGCAGAGAGAAAACCTTTATTCCATTATCACCGAGCACCTCCTAGTTTCCGACAGTCGTCTCCTTCTGCCGGGAGAATTAGCAGCAGTTCTGAGGGCTTAGGTAACCTCCTTGTTCAACTCAAGTTGAGCTCTTGCAGTCTTCCTGTGGGCCTGTGAATGTATTCATTCATTCCACAACTCTGGGTACCTCCCAGCTCTGGTACAGCGGCACAGTACACAGTCCCTGCCTTCATGCCAGGCTGTTCAGCTCTCAGGAGGGCAACCGAACACCTCACTCTCTGGAAGATGCAGCAGTACATCCAAGAGTCCAGGATGTTCCACACTTGCTGAAACGGTGGGTCAGATGATGTGTGTGATTCGGGGCTAAGAAAATAAGAGTCACTGGGGCTAGCAGTCGGTGCCAGGTGTCCATTCTCACCTCTTTCCCGGGCCTGGCCCCAGAAGAGCTAGGAGACTTTGGTGCCAGGTTAATACTGCTTCTCTGAGCCTCTATATCTCATCTGTAAAATAAAAGAGTTGGGATAGATGAATGGTTTCCAAGCATTTTTGTGGTTTCCCAGCATTTGGCAGGACTCCTTTTTAAAACATGGTGCTACACGGCACCCTGAATTCCAGCATTCTCACAGTAACAAACTGCCCCAAGTCTCAGTGGCTTATAAGAGCATTGATTTCTTGTTTGTGTTAGTGTGGCCACAGGCCAGCCACGGCTGAGCCCTAGGTGTGAAAAGCCAGGCTGAAGGGGTGTCCCCTGTCAGGTATGAAAGCCAGGGAGGGAACAGAAATCCAGCCTCCAAGCCTCACTAAGCTCGTGGCCTGATGTGTCAGCCCCACCTGCTCACATACCAAGGCCCCAAACATGGGAGGCGCCAGGTCAGTGAGGCCAGAGGATGTCAACCCCTCCCTCAGGGGCCCCAGCAAACCATGGGCAGTGTGGCTGTGGGCTGCATGACGGCCCTCTTCCAGGGAAGGGGGTGGCCACTGTGAGTGGAGATGCAATGACCTGATGACTGCTGAGAGCCAAGCAGTGCTCTAGCTCAGGGAGGAGCATCACCCAGCCTGTGAGCCCTGCCCTGGGCAGAGGCCCCTCAGGGAGCCTGGTGTCTGCAAGGGAGGCTGCAAACCATTGGATGGGGTCATGGCTCAGATCCCAGTACGGGCTGAACTGTATCCCCCAAAATTTCATCCGCTGAAGTTCTAACCCCCAGGATCTCGGAATGCAACCTTATTTGAAAACAGGTTAACTGCAGATGCCGTCAGTAAGGATCAAGTGGTCCTAGAGTAGGGTGCGCGGGCCCCCACCTGTCAGGACTGGTGTTCTTATAAAAAGGAGAAATTTGGACACACCCACCCAGAGACTGGGATGATGCACCTGTATGCCAAGCAACACCCCAAATCACCAGCAAACCATGGGAAGCTGGAGAGAGGCCTGGAACAGGGTCTCCCCTAGAGACTTCCGAGGGAGCACAGTCCTGACACCTCAATTTGGAACTTCTGGCCTCCAGAGTTGTGAGACCAGAGACCTCTGCTGTTTAGGCTACTCAGGTGTGGTTCTTCATGATGGAAGCCCCACAAAACTAATATAGGCCCTGGTAAGTGCTAAGCTCTTGGTATGCATAGACATTTTTGTGTATGAAAAAAGGAGGGCAGTACATTTTTATTCTGGCCGAAATTGCTATATTTTTGTAGCATCGTTGATCTTAGTTCACTGTCATGGAATAGGCCTCAGGGGCACTCCTGGCCAGGCATTGCCCAGGGATCCAGCTTTGGGCTGTGAAGTTCTTGTGACCACGGCCCCTCCTACCCAGTGATGGCCCCTTGGACTTCTGCTATCCCTGCAGATCACTGCTGTGTCTGCGCCCGGGGCACAGGACTGTGAATTGCCATTCATTTCCACATCCTGTTGATGTGTCCCTACAATGTGGTCTTCAGTGTGGAGACTGTCATTCCATCTCTAAAGGTGCTAGGCACTGCCAGCCCCCAGCCCAGTCCCCCACCAGCGGACACCATGCAAGGGGGCTGGCCACGTCACAGTCACATTCCCTGCCCGATATGGACCCTGCTGGTCACTGCTCACACCCGCCCTGTGACAGGATCATGATGATTTAAACCAGTGGAACTGGTGAGGCACAGAGAGGCTAAGGACCAAAGAGCCAGGCTGGGTGCAGTGGCTCACAACCAAATTCCCAGCACTTTGGGGGGCCAAGATGGGCAGATCGCTTGAGGTCAGGAGTTCATGACCAACCTGGCCAACATGGTAAAACTCCATCTCTACTAAAAATACAAAACAAATTAGCTGGGCATGGTGGGACTTGCTGTAATCCCAGCTATTTGGGAGGCTGAGGTGGGAGGATCGCTTGAACCTGGGAGGCCGAGGTTGCAGTGAGCAGATATCTCACCACAGCACTCCAGCCTGGGCAACAGAGTGAGACTCCATCTCAAACAAACAAAAAAGAAACAAAGAGCCAGATCACACGGACAATGAGAGGGTGGAGTTCCACTCCAAGGTGCATCTGCTGCTCCTGTGCTCTGCTGGGAGGGACACACCCCAGGTAAGAACCCTGCTTGTCTACAGCACTTCACCATTGCCTTTGTCCTGTTAATCCAGGGAAGCATTTAAATGCTTGATCTCTCCTACTGTGACTGGAGAGGCCATGGGAGAGTGGATGCATGCTGGCTCTAGATGGCTCCAGGTGCTTCCAGGTGGCCAGAAACTTCATCAGCACACAGAGGCGCTGGTGCTTTCCATAGAGTCAGTGTGCCAGAGCAGGAGGCGGGCACTGGGGCTTCTGGACTTCACCTCTTTACCAAGCTGCACACTGTAACGCTCCCTGATGTGCAGCTGAGGAAAGAGCTCCACCCGGCGGCTGTGACCGAGGCCCGAGCAGCAGCATCTTTTCCAGCCCTGGCCCTGGCCCCAGCCCCTGTGCTTGGATGCTGCGTGGGACATTCATTCACCCTCAGGGCTTAGCGCTCAGAACGCAAGAACCCTGTCCTTGAAGTTTGCATGCGCAGGCACCTCTGGTCCTTCCCAGGGTGGCTGGTGAGGGGCGTGCAGGAGGGAGATAGTGCTTTGATGGAGGGTGGAGGGTCCCCTGAGTTGGCCCAAACTGCTCATGTCCCTCTGTCTGGCTTCTCTGAGGCCTTTCTTTGTGCCTTCCTTGAAGCAGTAGGCCGGTCCAGGCCCTGTTGTGAAAGACATTCCTAGTGAAACCAAATGTCATATCATGCTGCCAAGTCTGAGATTCAAATTCCTCCCCTCACTCCTCAGCATCTGTCCCCGGGCTCTCGGGAAGAAAAGTGGTTCAGGGATAGGTGATCCTGACGATGATCTCCTGGCATTAATATTTCTAATGCCAAGGTTTTGAAAAACATTTTTAAGTTTCTAAATATCTTCTGTAAAGCTAAGCCTGCGCTCAAGGGAAGTCATTACAATGACTTAGCAAAGAGGTGCTCAGGATTTTTTTTTTTTTTAAATGTGTAAAGTTGATTTTTGTTTGGGAGAGGATCACGGGTGGAAAGGAGAGCTGAGAGCCTACTTCCTCCCTCCCAGCCATCACTGCCAGTCCTCAAGAGGCTTGGTCCCCTCCCCGGTGTCTGGAAGGCTCTTCCTGGAGGTTCCCAGACCTCTTGGCTCCGGTGATGGGAATGCCTGGCCTTCCTTGACTTTGGTCACAGAGCAGGAAGCCTTAGGGAGCACGCGGTTGTGCACCTTCACTTTTGCAGTGAAAAGTAACTGAGGACCAGAAAGATGACATGCAGCCAGTGTGGGGCTGAGTTCCGGAGCCTGGGGTTTGTCCTGGGGCCTCCTTATCTCCAATGGGAAGAAAACCATCTTGGCTATGAGTCGGGGATCTGAGGCACAGGTGCTTGCAGAAAGCTGTTGACCTTCCTTCTTTGGGTTTTCCACACCTAACGAGGGGAGACGTGACATTTGTCAGGTGCGGCTCAGGCATGAAGCTAAGCAGGACAGCTCAGAGTGTTCAGATCATGTACCTGAGAGCATGTCCCCGGGCTGTACCAGCAGTGCATCTGTGAGGTCCAATACCCGAACCACACATGGCTATTAATTCAAATTACATGGAGTTCAAAGTCTGGTCCCTTGGTCACGGTAATCACATTTCAGAGCCACACAGGTGGTACTGGATGGCACTGTCATGGCAGAGCCTTCCAGTGACCGAGCCACTCTGGAGCTGCCCCTATGCCAGCCTCCCCTGGAATCTGTTAGCAATGCTGATTCTCAGGCCCAGCCCAGACCTGATAGATCAGACTCTCCGGCAAGGGGGGTGGGGAACTGCCACCCCGTCTCCACAGCTCTCCCAGGATTTGGATGCAGCTCGAGTTTGAGGACCACTCTCTGAGTCATCTGGAGAGCATGCTGATAACTCAGTTTCATTTCTGTGGCCAGATCAAGTAGTTTCATTTCTCTCCCTGTTTGTTGGTGACGGAGCAGGGGAGGGAGTGGTTCACACACCACATAAAAGTGAAGTGGAGGAAAGGGAAGAGACGATTTCTCCATCCTGGACGTGCAGCGGTAAGAACGGGGCCAGTGCAGGGAGGGCTGCTTTGTGTCTGATGCACAGCAGATGCGCGTTTAAAAAATATTTCCCTAGTGACATGACATCTGCTTGGTGAACGTGGCATGTGCTGGGAGTCAGGAGCTGTAAAGATAAGATTCTGATGCTGCCTCTGGTGTGAGGCTCAGAAAGAGCCCATGTTGCCTCCAGCCCCCAGTAGCCCTGTGCACAGAGAGACTCTGGAGGGGAAGTGGCTGGCCCTGGGGACAGGGTGGCCTCCATCCTGATCTGGCTAAAAGTTGGGTGAACACAAAAGGGTGGTTTTTAGGACAGCTTTGCTCAGCGTTCTACAAAGTCTGGGGGTTAAATAAGGAGCATTGTGCCCCAAAAGCTGTCTTGGAGGGCTTCAAGTGTTCCTTCTTTTGTGGTATTTGTGATGCTCTGACGTGACCTTGGTGACGGTCATATGCTGGGAAATTGGCTGTCATGGGGCAGGGCGGGGTGGGGCGGGGGGTGGTGCCTGATTTCTAGCCTTTGCAGATTCTCTTCTGTTCTCATGGTGTGAATGTTCCCACCGTGGCCAGTTCCCAGCCAGTGGGGGCCAACTCCAGCACTCTGGACCACTGCACCCTGGATCGCCTGCACTCTGGGGGCTGAAGTCCATTTTATAATTGATACAGAGTGGAAAGGAGACATGGTGGTATCAATGATGCCTTTTTTTTTTTTTTTTGAGACAAGGTCTTGCTCTGTTCCCCAGGCTGGAGTGCAGTGGTGCGATCATGGCTCACTGCAGTCTCAAGCTCCCGGACTCAAAGGATCCTCCCACCTCAGCCTCCCAAATAGCTGGGACTACAGGTGTGCACCACCACACCTGGTTCATTTTATTTTATTTTTTATTTTTGTAGAGACAAGGGCTCTCTATGTTGCCCAGGCTGGTCTCAAACTCGCTTGCTCAAGAAGTCCTTACGCCTCAACCTCCCAAAGCACTAGGATTATAGGCGTGAGCCACCCCATTCAGCTTTGATGACACCTTTTGAACACTGTTCTTTCTTATTTTGTGTTTAGAATGTTGTCTGCAGCAGTTTAAAAAGATCAGCGTTCCAAGCTATCTTTCCTCGCACCCTCTCCTCCTTTTACTCTGCTCTACTTCCCACCCCCATCCTACCCTCTGAAGCACTTTTGACTCCCTTTGGATGTGCAATTTTTTTTCTTTCTTTTTTTCTTTTTCTTTTTCTTTTTCTTTTTTGAGACAGGGTCTTCCTGCTCTGTTTCCCAGGCTGGAGTGCAATGGTACTGTAGCAGGACGAGCCGCAGACAAAACTCCTCAGACAGGATTAAAGAAGGAAGAGGTTTTTTATTCGGCCGTGAGCGTCGGCAGACTCGCATATTAAGAGCCGAACTCCCTGAAAAAGAAATACCTGGCCTTTTTAAAGGCTTACAACTTTAAGGGGTCCACATGAAAGGGTCGTGATAAATCGAGCAAGCATGGGAAACGTGACTGGGGGCTACATGCATCAGCTACAGAACAAAAAGTTTTACAATGCTTTTTTAATATAGTGTCTGGAATCTACAGATAACACAAGTAGTTTAGGTAAGGGGTTCATGTTATTATTACTACTTTTTTTTTAACTCCTAGGGCCAGGTGGTGGTGTCAAGGTTGTCGGCTATTTATCTTACTTTTGTTTCTTTCTCTCTTTCCTCCTGTCTTGTGAACTAGGCAAGGTGGGGGGAGGAGGGCAGCAGGAGTACTAGTGGTCTCCTTCCTTATCCCCCGCTTTGAGAATTTTCACTGATTAGTGGGAGTTCTACTTTTGTTTTTACTTTTTGAGTCTCTTTGCAAGACAGAGTGATAGTGTTTTATGTAATACACTCATGCTGAAGTTTTCTGATGAACCATGATAGCTACAAAACCTTTTATCATTTGAAGGAGCAAGTGTAATACACAGGGGAACAGCAAGCAAGTTTCTATTACTAGTAATATATTTATAATGAGGGTTTTAAATTTTTTTAGCTGGAAACTATTTTCTAAATGAAGACCTAGGATCAAACCTGTGTTAAACCCGTGCAGTGCTATTTTTTTTTTTTTTTTACACTTAGTCTTTCTTTCTCTTTTGCTCTTTCCCAGTTTTGTTCCTTGGTTACAGTTAACATACACCTTGGTGGCCACTTTTATAGACTAGGTGGCATTCATACCTGCAGCTTCTGCTTGATGTTACCTTCGGCTTGCTTTACAAATGAAGTATTCACTATATACTGATTTTCAGCAGCCTCAGGGTTAAATGGGGTGTAAAACCAGAATGCTTTATAGAAGCTCTTTTAAAACTGACTTAGGCTTTTGTCAGCTCCTTGAAGCATTCCCGAAATCTTTTCTTATATTACTTGCTTTTTTCTACCAACTCTTAGCTTCTGCAGAAGTGCTTCTCAGTACCTCTGCAAACACTGAAGCTGAGTTGCATTCTCTGGGTGTTTTTTTCCCTTTTTCCTAGAGTTTAACAGGCTCTTTTCTTTATATAATTCTCCATGCACTTGGAGGGTTAAACAGGCATTATACCGAGAGTCAGTGTAAATGTTGACAGTCCTACCTTCACTGAGTTCTAAGGCCCGAATTAAAGCAATGAGCTCAGCTTAACGACAGTGTCCAGGGTTACCCCCGCATGCTCTGCACATCTCTCTCCTTGTGGGTTGATGGAGCTGTTCCCGTCCACATATAGCTCCTAGTCTACCGATGCCCAAGGCTGGTCCCGGAGGCCAGGTCTGCTGGAGTAAACTGGAGTCCAACACCTCTACACAGTCATGTCCACAGGGCTCTAGCTGCCGGGAGCAAGGTGGCGGGTTCAGGGTGTTTCCAGTTTAGTAGATCAATGGTTGAAAAGGGCTGATAGATGAAAGTCTGTTGCCCCCATGGATGTAGGCCTGGTCGTTATAATAGACAGGTCCTTGTGTCTCCCTGAGAGGCATTTGCATAGCTGGAGCAAGACCAGATCTGAGACGGCCCACTTGACTATCTTGACTTCCTTCCTTGGCCTCTTGAGGCTCTGATCCTCCCCTTCGAGGGGAGACCTGGGGCGTGTTAGCTCCTGAATCTCATTTCTGAGGGGGTTGTTGGCCTCAGTAAAGCGGGGTAGGCTAGGACATATGGAGAAAGAATTTCTATTATCTCTGGCAGCTCCTGTGAAACTGGCTTCTCTTACTGTTTCTGGGACTCCCTTTTTTAACTCTGTGTCTGCTGGCGAAGCTGCTCTTACTTTTACTTTTGGCTTTTTTTGCAATAAGCTGTTAAACAGGGCTAAATTTATGCTGGTTTTGTCTATATTGTATTTAACCGTGAGTCAATATAAAGGAATTGATCTAGGTACACTGGCTGTCCTCCGACCCGTCACCACCTTAAATACATGGCCAATTGTTCTCTGTCTATAGTTCCTTTGGTGGGCCATCCAACACCAAAAGAGGGCAGTTCTAATTCACACAGAGATCTTAACCTCTAAGGGGTTAACTTAACTCTATAATCTCCTGCAAAACCTTTCTTAAGGTTCTGTAACATGCATTTTAATAGAGTAAGTTTTGATGATTTGATGACTTTCCTTTTTTCTTTTTGAAATGTTTTAACAGAGTTCCTAGCGGAGTGGGCTTACTTTGTGTCTGACCTATTTTTCTCTTGAGACAAAACAACATTCACACTACAAGAAGGAAAGGGTAAAAGATCACTCACTCATCTAATTTACACTAAATCAGAATCAAAACTAAAACCAAAGTGTTGTTAGAGGCACACCTATTTGTCAAGCAATTTAAGCCAAGTCAAAAGCAGAACCAAAACCAAAGTGCCAATAAAGGCATGCCTGTTTATCAAGCAATTCAAGTCAAAAACAAAACTAAACCAAAATATCAAGCAATTAATTCAAGTCAAGTCAAAAAAAAAAAAACCAAAATGCCGGTACAGGCACGCCGTGGGTGATCAGGCCACGCTTCCACTCAAATGGAGTGGGTGAGCAGTCTTACCAAGTTTCAGATGTCCAGACTTAAAGCGCCAGCTCCTTCCCGGTGTTCAGCCCCTGTGTGGATCCTCCGCGGTGTCTGCTGTGCACTGCCCTGACGAGGCATTCCACCGGGGCAAATGCCTACCCGGGAGTGCTCTCAGGATCCGCATCACTCAAGCTGGCCAGAGTCTCAGCCTCCCAAGGCCAAGGCCAAGGCTAAGGGAGGACAGGACAATTGTCTCTCTCATTCTTGAACAAGAGAGAGCTCCTGGATTCACCAGGAGAGCAAATTTGACTAGCTTGGACTTCTGCAAGGTAATTTGTTGTGATTGCATATTCATGAGACTAATACAATCTTAACATAATTTATTTATATTAAGGAGATTAAATAAATCCATGGGTATGTTCTTGAGTGAAATTTTATTTAAAAAAAAAAAACGGAGACCTTTTCCATGGGATCATATTTTCTTTTGACACTCCTGGGAGGCAGGCAGGACCATGTTAAGTGGCTGTTTTGCAGTGAATGATTCTATGGGGAAACCCGAATAAGATGGTAATGTTGTAGGAAGTGTCTGAGGCAGAACCTGTCAATGACTAAAACTGGAAGACGCAAAGCAGCCTGCTAGTGTGGGAGCTGCAATAAACCAAATCCCTTTTTTTATTCTCAATCAGAAGGAGGGACTTTCCAAGCTTGATCCTCTAAGAAAAACGGATCCCCTCCTATTTTCTTACCAATTTTCAATTTATCCAGAATGCATACTTCTCAGTCTTCAGACTCCTGGCCTGGTCATCCCTTGAAAATATTTGGCAGCTCCCTGGTTTAACAGTTGCCTCGAAGTTGACAGCAACTCCAAATCTTGCGGCTCAGCAGTACAGAGTCATTCGTTCCACAAAGAGCTGACCATTCCAGCTCACCTGACCTCGCCCCTCCTCTGGGCCCACCGCATCTTATCAAGGCCTTGCTCTCCTTCCTTGGATCCGTCAACCCCCACCTGGCCCTCGGTAGCTCCTTCCTGGATTCTGGCCTCACCTTGTTCCTCATCTTTGTCTTAACTCTTAACTTGGGTGTCCCCTGCACCCTGACAGCCACGTCGTCTTCTCCCTTCTCTTCTCTCACCAGCTGTCTTCTTGGTTTTTCAGTTCCTCTCTCTCAAGACCTGCACTTTCTCTTCAAGTCAAAGTCCATGGCGCCCATGGTCTGCATTTGTACCAGGCTCCGGAAGCTCCCACGTGGGGACCGAGCCCTGGAGAGGAAACCACAGTGCAGTGGCTGCTGAAAGCAGAGGTCTGCATCCCCAAGCCTCCTAAGCCCCCCACTTCCATTCTCCCCTGCCTGTGTGCATAGTCCGAGTCCCGCCTGTCCGTCTGTCACCTGGCTCTTCTGTGTCTTCTCCGTGAGCTTGCAGGGGCACCCAGCTAGCCCACGGGCTCCCGAGATAGTCCACTCGTGCAGACACACTGTAGCCATTTCTAAAGATTGCGTAGGGGAGACAGATGGTTCACCAGGCACACACCACACAACCTGAAACCTACATTCCTTATTCTACAGGCCTGTGTCAGAAAATCCTCCCTAAACTGCAATGGGGAGGGGGACTGAGGCACTTCTCATCCCCTACTTGTCACCCCACTGCTCACTCCTGCCTCCGACCTTCACACATGGTCACTCCTGCAACTTTTCACCCCTTTATTTTGCAGAGCAATCTGTGTCCAGCTCCTGTCCTCTCAAACTTAATAATCAGCTCATGATATGCTTAGCAAGACCTGCCCTTCATGGAAATAAGGGTGAGGGTGGCGACAGTTTTAAACATGTTTTAAAAAGAACATGAGATGAAGAATATTGGACTTCAATATTGGACTTATTGAAGAATATTGGACTTCACAAAAGGACCCTCCTTTCCCTTGTTCTTTCTTCCCATGGAGAGGAAGAAGTTGAGGCTGACTTATCACCTCCCATCAGTACTCACTTTTGTTCCTGACTTCGTCACCAAAGGCAGCTGGCTCCAGCTCTCAGCCTTTGAAGGATATTGTGACTGGGGATTCAGAGTCCCAGGCTCCCTCCCACACAGACAGGTGGAGTGAGGCCACCTGAGATCTCAGCTGCTAGGGTGGGTGCCAGCAGGCACACTGAGCTGCTGGGTCCTGGCCAGGCCCTCCTGTACCCCCTGAGAAAGTCTCCACAGGGCTGGGAGCTGTTTGTGCCATCTCTCAGTGATCCCATAAAATTGCTGCCTAGCCCTTCTGGTTTCACAGATTTCACATCAGAAAACTTTTTATGAACCCAGGGCTAGTTCTGAAAACAGGAAGTGCTTTCAGCCCCCGTGGGAGGAGGGGGGTGCAGGAGGCCTGTGGAGCTGGACCTCTGGGAGCCAGGCTGGAGAACAGGGGCTGAAGGCTGAGTGGCCGCGGGGCCATTCACAGAACCATGGTCTTTCCTGTGAGTGAGTGGGGGCCCTGGGTGGGGCTGCTGAGCCCAGGAACAGCTGGCTCTGCTGGAAGATTCGCCCGTCTGAGGCTGCCGGGGGGAGGATGCAAGACAGGGCAGAAGCTCATTAGGAAAGGTTGAGACAGAGGGTCTGAGTGAAGATTCCGCTGCAGAGGGAGCAGTCCAGGTCAGCACAGGGTGACATGTGGGGATGAGGCTGGCCAGGGCATGGGGCAGGTTTTTGAGCCCAGCAGTGTAAGCAGTCTCTGTCCCAAGGGAGGAAAGCTGCTGAGAGCTGCTGGGCCAGCAGATGGGAGTGTGGGGCTGGCCTCAGGGCTTCTGGAAGGGGTATTCCCGAGAAGTGAGGTGCTGCTCTGGGACTGTGGTGCCCCAGGGGCCTTCCCTGCAGGGCACTCTCAGCAGCCACCTTTGGTAGAAGCCAGGATCACCCTGCATGGGGGATGATGCTGCACCTAGCACGGAGCCTTGTAGTCAGTCACTCTCCTCTCTCCACAACTGCAAGTACCTCCCTGCCTGCCACCCCCACCCCACCCCCGCCCCCGCCGTGGCTGTGCATCTAGCAGGGGACAGTACCATCAGCAAAGTCTGGGAACTTCCAGGGAGCCCGCATCCCCCTCAGCCTGCCTTTAGCCGGAAAATATTCCAAGCTCTGCTCTCTAATTTGGAAAGCCAATGTTTGTATTTGGAGATTGTGTTGCTAGACTCGACAAGGGTAACAAAGCAACAGGAAGTGTTCCCCAGAGCTCGGGTGCCGACTTGCGTGGCTCAAAGCTGGGTGGTCGTCCATCCCACTGTGGCGGGTGGATAAAGGTTCTTTTCCTGGACTATATCATTCCAGCCAGAGCAAGGGATAAGCCTGTGATAGTCGTGAGTCAGGAACCACTACCAAGGTCAAAGCCCCTCAAGTTAATTGTTGGAACCTGCGGCTCTAACTCTTCCAGCAAAGCTACTTCTGTGAAAGCTGTGAAGAGCAGATGAAATGGGACAGGAGAGGAGCTGAATCCTGCAATTGTATCACTAGGAGCCCCCAAAGTACGATGATGGTCCTCAGGCCAGCATGGGGGTGCATTGGCACCATGTAAGGAAAGGGGCCCTCACATGGCACAGTTGGGATGGGGCAGTGTGGGGATGTTCAGAGATAAAAGTTTCCCGTGAGCTCTGTTTCAGCAAACAGTGATGACCACTTTGGCAACTTCACAATCTTGCCTTCCTGCACGTGGACATTTTTCTTCATGCATGTACCTCTTGCAAATGGTTCCATTGTTTGTATAATTGTATTTCGTGAGTGGAGAAGAGTTGGAAGCAAAAATCATGACTGTTCATGAGAAATGTAAGTCTGTGGTAATACTGCCTTTAGTGAAATCAAGAGCAGATCTAAAGGGATGTGAAAAGCATCAGGATGGTCATATAGGAGGCAGGATCGTTCCCCCAGACGCCGGCCATGCCGGTTGTGTTTTATGGTAGGAGTGATTATGGCAGCCTATGTGTGTGTGGGCATAAGAATACTTATTTTATGGATCTTAAGGTAACTATGTGTTGGAATTATGTGTTGGAAAATATATGGCATGGAATTCAGTAAGGGAATGCCCATGGTTTGTGTGGTTCCTGGAGTTAGAAATGGGTGGCAGATCCAGCAAGAGGCAAGATTTCCAAACAGACTGCTGAGTCATTCTTAGGGTGGGTTAGGAGAAAATGTGCTTTGGTCTAAAGGAGGGAGGAAGAAGTCAAGAACAAGTAAATTATAAAACGTGGTTGCAGGATTGAAATCTGATCCTGAAAAAGAGAGAACAGCCATGAATATAATGTTTAAAAATGCACACAAAGAAAACCACTGTGGTGGAAGTCACAAGAAGTTCAATCATTATCTGGTCTCATCATCGGGAGTGGAAGCTGCCCACTCCCAAAGCCGTCTGCTTGGTCCACAGCTCTTAGTTTTTGCATCTGGAGGTTTTGTGGTTAGTCCTGGTTTGAGGTCATTGGAGCCGTCCCGTTGGTCTGGGTTTGTTGCCTGTTTCTACTGACTCGTGAGCACTTGGGTCCACACCTTGGATCTTGACGGCCCTGGCATTTGTTCGGAGGACCTGAAATGGCTCCTTCCAAAGAGGTCTGAAGAGTTTTTGCCTTGAGGTCTCTTCCAGTGGACCCAGACCAAGCTGGAGGTCAGAAAAAGTTTGGCTGGCATTTCCTCTGACTGCCATTTCCTTTGGGCACAAGACTTCATGTGTGAGGCTAATCCTTGACAATGCTTTACTGTGTACATGAAATGGAGCAGAGCCAGGCCTTGCTGAAGTTACTCCTGGTCATGTACAGCATCCCGTTATGATCTCATGGGGCGCCGGACTAAGCACTCAGAGATGGTCACGCCAATAGCCTATTATATCCTCGACCTAGGAGTTAAGGAGTAATCTTCTGCTTACAGATAGAGGCGAAGACTGCATGGCCAATAAAGCTGGTGGCAAAACTCAAGGCCCAGAGAGATGGAGGGCTTTTTATAGTTAGGGAATTTCAGTTTCGTTTGGTGATTGATTTTGTATTTTGTGAACACCTAGGGTGATTCAGACACAGTGAAGTGTCTGTGTTGGAAGAAGGACCCTCCGGGACAGTAATTCCACAATCTTTTGACAGGAAGATAGGTATTATCCATGCTGAGAACAGAAAGTCTAGCAAGAGGTAGACTTGCAATCATGAACCCATGGCCCTGAATCCTGTCTCACCTTCACAGTCTTGCCTGGGTTATATTGGTTGCGGATGAGATATGACTCTACCACTTCCTAGGCCAATTCCAGAAAATTTCCTGACCAATATGCATTGCATGTAACATTTAATTTACCTTTTCCATGATGCAAACAATTATGGAGTAATTTAGCTAGGAAGGCTTATGGCACTCACGGGCAGGTGACCTGAGATGACCAGATTCCACCTTTATTGAGAAAGCATTTTTGAGATTGCCAACATTACTTGCCAGAAGTTTGCATTGATTATTATGAGTCAATTATAAATGGATCCAATTTTTTTTCTGAAAGTTTGATGGGTAGATATCAATTACTACTTTAGAACTATAATATAGTATTTAAAGCTACTTTTTAACATGAAGTCAATAAGGACATTGCCCTTGACTTGTGGGATGGCTTCTCAACTAAAAGCTTCTACTTTAGTATCTGGTACCTCCTCTGGATACTGGGTAGCTTCTAATAAGTTACTGATCCCTTACTTTGATGTGGACAATCACATGCTTCCATAGCATCCCCAAATCATAAGCAGCTCCAAATGCCCATCTCATCTATTCTCGGTATAAATGTTTATTTTTTTATCTCTTAAAATAATGTGACTTGGAATCAGGACTACAGCTTATCCACTGGGTTATATCTCACATTAGGAGATAGAACATTTTGATGGGTGAATGACAGTTTCCTATACAATAAATGCTTTTGCCATTTGTATTGTTTTTTCCTCCACAGCCTTTATTAAGCTCCTACTGTATGCCAGGTACTTTGAGCTGCAGGTACAGCTATGAAAAAAACAGGTAAAAATCCCTGCCTCCCTGGGGGCCTTATTGCAGCTGGAGAGAGACAAAATAGGCAGAATCCATCAGGAAAGGTATCGTGCAGATGTTGTGAATGCAACTTTTGACTATTGCCTCCCCCATCAGATCCTCAGCTCTACAAATGGTGGCAATGTCTCCCGGCTGGGTATCTAGAGCCCAGCACACAGCAGGCACTCAGTGAATGTTTACAGAGTGGAGGAAGACTTACACTGACTCAGGAACTGTGGCTCAGAGAGGGCAAGGGACCCAACCAGGGGAGCCATGGAGCTTAGGCAGATAAATTGGGTGTGGCAAGAGGGGTGTCTGCCAGGCCCAGGAGCCCTGGCTGTCACCAATGCACGATGTGACTTTGGGTGAGCCACACCCTCTCTGTGCCTTGTTGGCAGTGGTGGGAGTGGTCATTAGGATGACAGTGTCCTGGAAGCTGAAGCCCATACGGGCCATGGCCTTCCAGGCTCCAGGCAGCCTGAGGCCCTTTGGAATTCTGCGGCTTCCCCTCTAGCTGCTCTGGCCACAGATCTTCCTGCTCTCCCCAGCTCCCCTCTGCCCCTCAACCCCACAGCCAGCCATTAGCTGACTTGTTGACCAGGACTTCAAAGCATCCAGAATCCAGTCGGCTCTCACCACCCCCACTGCCATTGTTTCCCAAAGGGTGTTATCCCTAGGCTTGTCTTTTAGCACCCCCCGGGAGAAAAGAGGACTTTAAAGACAGAAAGAGAGCTAGGCACCAAACCTCAAGCAGGCCTTGCTTTCCCAGACTCTCGAACTTAAAAAAAAAAAAAAAAAAAAAACAGACAGAGACAGGCAGGCATCCTCCCAGCCGGGCCTCGGTGGCTGTGCCGCAGCCCCTCCTCAACACCAGGCAGGAGCCAGCCCTGGGACAGGCTCTACACACTCACTAAGCACCACCTCCTGCACAGCCCAGTCCCTGCTCTCAGCTTGAGCAGGCCCAGCAGCCCTGCCCTCCCAAGAAAGGGGGTGGTGAGAAGCTTAGCATCCCCTCCGGAGAGACCAGCGCCACACATGACAGTGTTGGTACCAGCACCCAGTCTTTGAGCCACAAGTGTCTGGCACGCTGCTGAGCCTTTATGTAAGTAATTGTATGGAACCCTCCCACATCCTCAGGAGGAATGGTCAGCCCCATTTTCTAGATGTGGAAACTGACACCCAGAGAGATTTCAGCACATGCTCCAGGTCCCATGCACAGCCCTTGTGCTGGACGGCCCCAACCCTGCTTTCTAATTCTTTATCCTAAATCCAGGTTGCAGGCCTTGTCTTAGGGAGACGGTGCTGTACCCTGCCTGTGGAGGACAGTATGCCTCGGTCTAGCCCCGCCCTGCCCCTCGCTGGGTGGAGCCTCCTTAGAGGCTCATGCATGGCTTTGGGATTCCGGGCAGTAGGAGTCAGGTCTGGGCTGCTGAGCAGGGACGGGGAAGGCCCCGACAGCAGACCCCACGAGGATGACTGGGCTCCATCCTACGTGCACCTTGCAATGAGCCACATGGAAGCACATCCATCTGAGAGGTGGGAGAAGGAGGGAGCTGTCTGCAGGTCCCTCCGGGTCGGGGGTTCCCCCGGGGCTAGCTTCCCACTCCTCCAGGCTGCCATGCTGAAAGCCAGCGGGTGTCTCAGGTAGCGGATGTGGCAGGTTGCTCGAAGGAGAAACTCTGGAAGCATGAGATCCAGTAGTACAGAGCCTGAGTCCTGTGGCCTGGCCCAACTGTCCCAAAGCCCCAGGACTCTGACCATGTGTAAACCTTATCTCTTCTTCATGTCCTCCCTGATCCAGGGTTGTGTCCTTTATTGTACTTGGTCTCCTTATCCTCAAGGATGCCCATCACGCCACTCTCCAGCTCAGAACCCTCCAAAGGCCTTCCTCACACCCACGTGCAATGCAAGGCCTCTGCCCACATCTTGCAAGCTTTGGTCCTCCCTCTTTTTCCCCAGTCACACTGACCATCTTCCTATTCACTGAGTTCATTCCGACCTCAGGGCCTTTGCACGTGCATTTCCTCTGTTGGGGAGACTGGTCCCCAGTTCCTCCAAGCCTTGCTCCTCTGCCCATTCCCAGCACACCCTCCAGTGGGCACCCAAGTTACCCTCACCCCAGAATCTCAAACCTACCACCTGTCTTTCTCCAGACACTCCATCATCACCTGGAGTCCCTTGTTGGTTGGTGTATTTGTTTTGGCATTTCCCTGCTAGGATGGTGTGCCTGGAGTGAGGGCTTCGTCTGACTTGGTCACCATGATATTCACGTGGTGGAAAGTGCCTGGCACATTCAGACTCGTACCTTTGTATGAGTCTGCTCAGGCTGCCATGGCAAAAGACCACAGACGCAGTGGCTTAGACAACACGCATTGGTTGTCTCACAACCCTGGAGGCTGGATGTCCCAGATCAAGGTGTCGTGTCGGCAGAGCTGGTTCCTTCTGGAGGCCCCGGGGGAATCTGTGCTCTCCTTCCAGCTCCTGGTGGCTATGGCAGAGGCCTTGGCTTTCCCTGGCCTGGGCTGCAGCCCTGCAATCTCTGCCTCTGTCTTCACAGGTTCTTCTCCCCGTGTAGAGGTCTCTGTGTCCCAAATCTCCCTCCGCCTGTCTCTGATAAGGACACCTATGATGAGATTTAGGGCCCATTCTAAATCCAGGATGATCTCATCTCAAAATCTTCACCTTAAGTATATCTGCAAAGAGTCTTTTTCCAAAAAAAGTCATGTTCCCGGGTTCCAGTTGAACATAAATTTTGGGGGGACTGTGGGGACACCATTCAGCCTCCTGGATCCACCTTACTACTAGAGGAAAGGGGGATACAGTGCGAGCCAGAGTGTGGGGGGCTCCTTCCCGGAGCACAGGCCCAGTTCTGAGTCCTGGCTTAGACGTCACTGGCCCTCCCAGATGTCAGTTTCTTGACCCTGAAAAACCAGATAAGGGCCAAATACATAGACTTGTTGTGAAACTTAAATGTATGTCTCAGCACGATGCTGCCCTCATCTGAGTGCAGGCCACAGCCTGAGAACTGGGGCTGAACAGCTGCTTCTCCCACACTCCCCCAGTGCCTGGCCAAGCCTGGGTGTGAGGCCAGGTCTGGATTCCAGCAGGCCCAGGAGGTGTTGCCTGTCATCTCTGCACACCTAATGGTTCTCTTGCCTGGTCCTGGCCACAGGGGCCTGATGCCATAGATGGCACAGACCATCAGAGGTGACAAAGGAGACTGGGTGTGGTGGCTCACTGCTGTATTTCCAGCACTTTGGGATGCTGAGGCGGACAGATTGCTTGAACTCAGGAGTTTGAGACCAGCCTGAGTAACATGGCAAAAACCCATCTCTATAAAAAATACAAAAATCAATCAATCAATCGATCAATAAATAAAAGTTGTTGGGCATAGTGGTGCATGCCTCTAGTCCCAACTACTTGGTAAGCTGAGGCAGGGGGATTGTTTGAGTCCAGGGAAGTTGAGGCTGCAGTGAGCCCTGATGGCACCACTATAGTCCCCACTGGGTGACAGAGTGAGACCCTGTCTCAAAAACAACAACGACAACGACAACAACAAGTAACAAAGGAACATTGAGACTCTCTACTGGGAATGTGGAGTCCACTGCCCCCTGTTCCCCAAGCCCGGGCCGGTAGAAATCCACTTGTGCTCTCTGGTTGCCAAGAGCCCCTTCGGCAGACAGGGCACCTGCACCGGACCCCTGGTCTCTGCATCTGTGTGTAGAGGGTAGGTTGTAGGGTGGGGTGAGGAGGGGTTGGCAAAAGTGCCACCTTGGGGAGGACTTCTGGTGACCTGTGGGCCGCTTTCCCTCTTGTGTCTTTGCAGAGCTTGTCAGGAAGATTGGAGGTGCCAAGTAGCAGAGAAAGCATCCCCCAGCTCTGACGGGCAGACAGCACATGTCTAAGGCCCACAAGTCTTGGCCCCACCGGAGAAGAAATCAGTTTTCTTCCCAACGCTCCCTGAAAAAAGAAATGAATTTCTTCCAGCAACAGCCACCGCCATTCGGCACAGTGCCACCACAAATGACGTTTCCCCCAAACTGGCAGGGGGTAGAGAAGGACCCTGCTTTCCTCACCAAGGACTTCAACTTGCTCACTTTGAACAATCAGCCACTACCAGGAAACACGAGCCAACCAAGGGCAAAGGTAAGCCCGGTGGAGGGACGTTTGGAAAGGGTGCGTTCTGGCTGCTGGTGCAGAGGGCTGTCATGTAAGCCCACCGCGATAATAGAACCAGCCAGTCTGCTCCTCCAGCACAGCTGGTGTCTCCAGCTCTCCTGGTCATGTCCATCAAGTACCAGGAATGTACACAGACTCTCCTGCAGCAATGGGCTGCTGTGACGTGGGTCTGGGGGCTTCTGTGTGTGGGGGACCCCTTCCTGGAGCTTTTCTTCCAGCTTCCCCTGCAGCCATCACATTGCCACCCTACCCACTTGCCACCCTTCCCAGCTCTGCAGTGCCCCAGTCCAGAACCTCTTCTTCCTCTGACTGGAGCCTCTGCCTCTTGGAACGTCTTCCTGGCTCAGGGTTCCCAGCCCTTTCCCGGCAGGCACACCCTGCACACCTGCAGCCAAATCCTCCCAGCATCTGCCCCAGTGAGGCCTCAATAGGAACAGAACAGAAGGGCCCCTGCATGCAGCGGCACCCCTCCATCCACCTTCTCACCTCCTGTCTGCAACTCCACCTAACATCACAGCTGCGCAAACTCTGCCACACATCCCCATGACACCAGGGACCCTACCAGGGATCAAGGCAGTGGCATCTGTTCTGCCTTCTCCAGGGGCCCGAGAACAACCTGCACAACCAGTACGAGCAGAAGGTGCGCCCCTACATTGACCTCATTGACTCCCTGCGGGCTCTGGGTGTGGAGCAGGACCTGGCCCTGCCAGCCATCGCCGTCATTGGGGACCAGAGCTCGGGCAAGAGCTCCGTGCTGGAGGCATTGTCAGGAGTTGCCCTTCCCAGAGGCAGCGGTAAGTTCCAATGGACCACCTTCCCTCCGCAGCAAGCAGCGCCGCCTGTAAGCCACAAAGCTTCCCCAGGCACCAAGAGGTTTCAGAGACAGGCTGCTGGGAGACACAGCCTCTGGAAGAGACATGCCTCTGGGAGAGACAGGAAACTGGGAGAGACAGGCCGCTAGGAGAGACAGGAAACTGGGAGAGACAGGCCACTGGGAGGGCCCTAGGAGGGCAGCCTCTCAGGCTTGGTGGCAGGGGGCCGGATTCCCCATACATGTTTAAATAGCTCTCACTGCCTGTGTGTCAATTAGGTCCAGGGACCTTGCCACTTCTTCCTACTGGTCTTTGTAAGAATGTAGAAACATTTCTTTGATAGGGTTAAATTGATGCTTTGGGTGACAGGTGAAGTCTTCTTAAAGAATTTTCTCAATGTTTTGAAAATCTATTATTTAGGATCGTGATATAAGACACCTTTTCCTTGGACAAAAATTTTTAAATCTGTGTACAGTGAAGAAGCTGTTGTACATTTATAATTTAATAAAATAATTATAAAGGATAATTATAAAGGCACTACCCTCAGAGTGGGTACTGGAGAGTGTTTAGAAAGGAGTTTTTACAATGGGATAAGCAGGGCGTGGGGAAGCCAGCAAGAAGGGGGTGGGACAGGACGGGGAGCAGCTTCCAGAACCCGAGAAGGAGCAGTGTGCAGGGGCCCTGGCAGGTGCGGCGGCAGCACAGAGCACCCAGCTCCTTCTCCTCCCTGGCTCCGCTCTCCTGCCGCTGCTGCTTACTTCTTAACCCAACCAGAACCCTGGGGCAGGCGGGAGGCATCTGCCGGTTTCTCCAGGGCTGCCCAGAGCAAGGTGGGGCTGCTGGAGGGCTGCCCGGATCCTCCACACCCCTCTGCAGCAACCTCAAAGCCGCAATGAGCCTGGGAGAGTGCCCCTCCCCTGGCCTCCCTGCTGCCACCTGCAGCCTGGTCCTTTACCCAGCGTGTCCCGTAAGATGCCCATCAGCCTGGGCACAAGGCAGGAGAGAGTAAGGGTGTGGGACGGCCAGTCCTCCTCCGTGCTCTTGGTTCAGCATTTGGGGCAGCGAGACTCCAGAGTGGAGAGTCTGAATGCCAGACGGCAAGCATAGGCCCCTGGGCGAGTCCCCTACTTGGAAGATGGGACAATACCTCCCTATAGGCACGAGACAAAGGACACGGGTTCTCAGGGCTTCACGGCAGGAGCGTGAGGGCCCCCACCCCAAGGAACTCAGCACCGCTCCCACCTTTCCTGGCTTCAGCGGCATCGGAGGATCCTGCCTCAAAGGGCACTGTCAGGATTCCCCTTGCCCCTCCTTCGGGATGTCCGGCTTCTCCTCCAGGCTCTCACCACCTTCTTCCCACTCCTTGAGAAGGGTTCCATGGCTCCTGGATGGGTCTCACTGCTCCACATTCCTGCTGTCCCCCACCCCCCACCCTAACCAGGGCTGCCCACTGGGACAATTACAGAGCCTGGGGCTGACACCCGACATGCTGACTCCAGTTGCAGGAAGACGGAGAGCCTGGACATGTGCCAGAGCCCCAGCGTTCGCCTCCATCACTTCCAGGGCAGTGTGGTGGGGGCTGCAGCTGTGGTGGGGACTGTGGCTACAGCCGTTTGCTCATGTCCATCAGAGCTCAGGGTGCTTAGTCTGGTAGCGAACACTTCCCAAGGACAGTAGCACCTCCCGGGGACCTGTGCCCCTTTGCACCTGCTCAATCCGGAACCCCTCACCTACTACCAGGCCCCAGGGAGAGTCAGAAAGCTCAGACGAGGACTTTGAGGACAGCAGGGCAGGTCCTGGGAGCAAAGGGCCCAGCGCCACTTCTTTTAAAGGAAACTGAGGGTGTTTGGGGAATCTCTCGCTCAGGAATCGTAACCAGGTGTCCGCTGGTGCTAAAATTGAAAAAGCAGCCCTACAAGGCATGGGCCGGAAGGATCAGCTACCAGAACACCGAGATAGAGCTGCAGGACCCTGGCCAGGTGGAGAAGGAGATACACAAAGGTGGGCCCACATCATTCCAAGGTTCAGATCTGACAGCTGCTCCTCTCACTACCTCGATTCCTTCTCTTCCTCAAATCACCCCCACAGTGACCACTTACCTCCTAGCTCCATGTGCTCGCACATGGGGTTGCCCCCATTGCTGTCACCTCCACCATCCCTCCAGGTCCTTGTCCAGGTCCCCGCTCATCGAGCCATCCCATGCTGAGGACCCTCTGGTGGCTTCCCTTAGCAGCCTGCAGCCCACGTGGCTGACGTTGCCCGTCCTCTCCTTCCCCAGCCCAGGCTTTCTCCACTCCACAGGATACTCGCCCTCTCTTCCTTCCAGGCTTCTCCTCTTCACCTGCCCAATCCCTACTTGCTCTTTGGCTCTCAGGTCACCTGCGCCCCCTTTGGAAGTGCTGCTGCAGGACCCCTGGTCCCACCCCAGCTGTCACAACCATGGCTTGTCTTCCTGAAGCTCAGCTCTAACCCTGGCCAGCCACCTTGTGGCCACCTTTCCTCCCAGCACCCCCTCCAAACGCAGACCCCGCTCACCCAGCTGTGGGACAAGTTTCCCAATGCTTGTTCTTGGCCATGGCTGATCAAAAAAATGCTCAGTTGCTCCTGCAGTCCACAGCCTTGTACCCCGATGGGCCCTGGTGGTTATGTCCCTTGGAGCGCACAGCCCTGCCTGCCCCAGGCACTGGAGCCTCTCACTCTCCCTAAAGGCTTCTCCCCTATCTTACTTGCACGGCCCATCCTGGACTCAGCCAGGATAGATGGAAAAACAACCCTGAATGTACTAAGACTCCCTGCAGTGAGGAATTAAGTCCAAGGAAGGCCTTTTGCACTACTGGATAGCAAACTCAGTGCCTGAGCGGGAGCCCTTTAGATGACCCCATGGGCTCAGCCCTTTCCCAGAGAACCCCTGTCTGCCTGGATCAAATGACTTTCTGGAGGGCTCCCTTCCCAAATAGAGAAGTCTTCACCCCAATTTCACCCATAGCCCAGAACGTCATGGCCGGGAATGGCCTGGGCATCAGCCATGAGCTCATCAGCCTGGAGATCACCTCCCCTGAGGTTCCAGACCTGACCATCATTGACCTTCCCGGCATCGCCAGGGTGGCTGTGGGCAACCAGCCCCGGGACATCGGACTGCAGGTGAGCCCTTCTGGAATTTGGGATTGAGCTCAGCTGAAGTGGGGGAAGGGTCAGAGGTCTCCATGGTCCTGGTGCACCTTCTGGAGCCTTTACACTGAGGGATGAGGATGGAGTCTCAGGTAAGACCCGCCTAGGTGGGGGCCTCATGCCCAGGTTCTGACTCAGGCTTGACAAGTCACAGAAAAAAGAGAGGTGGACTCTGGGGGACTGGCAGGCATATGGGACAGTGCACACCCTGCCCAGTCATTCAGGACTGTGAGCCCAGTGTGACCAGCTGTGCTGATAGTCAAAAGAGGGCAGAAATTTGGATTTTTACATGAAATCTGTCCATTTTGCCAATATTTTAAAAAATGAATGTTACATAAGTCAGAACGTGGACTGTGGTCCTGGTCGGGGCAGGAGAGGCACAGGGGAGAGGGAAGGCGACCAGGCAACAAGGACACATGTCAGCCAACAGCAGGGCTGTGGCTTCTCTGCCAACAACCTACCCATCTAAACATAAGGCCAGGCACGGTGACACACGCCTGTAATCCCAACACTTTGGGAGGCCAAGGCAGGAGGATCACTTGAGGCCAGAAGTTCTAGACCAGCCTGGGCAACATAGTAAGAGCCTGTCTCGGCAAAATATAAACACAATTACCCAGGTGTGGTGGTGCATGCCTGGGGTTCCAGCTACTTGGGAGGCTGAGGTGCTAGGATCACCCGAGCCCAGGAAGTCAAGGCTGCAGTGAGCCATGGTTGTGCCACTGTACTCCAGCCTCAGTGACAGAGAGAGACTCTATCTCAAAAATAAATAAATAAATAAATAAACCTGAGGTTGCCTGAAAACATAGTCCTGGCTCAAGTACCTGAACCAAATGTGGTCCAGGAAGACTTGTGCACACCCTGTTTGGGTTAGGCCAGTCCCTAGACCAGCCCTGTCATGCTTTGGCAAGCCAGCTCATGTGAAAATGAAGGAGACAGAGTGGACGCCAGGGCAGGAGAAGGCTGGGGAGATGAGGCCCTCCTCTACTAGAACTGAGGCCACTTTCCTGGCTTCTTCCATTTTGTGGGAGACACTGGCAGTGTTGAGAACCCAACCACAACCAAATTAAGGGGTGGCAGCCCCAAGAGCCTCCTGGGTGGAGTCTTCACTAGCACTGCTGTTTGGGGCAAAATCTTGGTTAATGATCTTCCTCAACATCCAAATCACCATTCTCTGTCTCTCTAAGAGCAGGGAAATTAGCTCATATCCCTTGCTGAGTTAAGTGATGAATTCCCTATTTCTTAGCCCTCCTAGGAGGGTGGCTGATTCATCCATCAAGTTATGGGAATTCCTAGAAACTGCAAAAGATCCTTGGGTGGTGATATGGTTTGCCTCTGTGTCCCCACCCAAATCTCATCTCAAATTGTTATCCCCACGAGTCAAGGGAGGGACCAGGTGGGAGGTGATAGGATCATGGGGGCATTTTCCCCCATGCCATTCTTGTGACTGAGGGAGTTCTCATGAGAGCTGATGGCTTTAAAGTGTGGCATTTCCTTGTTCTCGCACACATTCCCTCCTGCCACCTTGTGAAGAAGGTGCCTGCTCCCCTTTTGCCCTCCCCCATGATTGTAAGTTTCCTGAGGCCTCCTAGCTGTGCTTCCTGTTAAGCCTGTGGTACTGCGAGTCAGTTAAACCTCCTTCCTTTATAATTACTTAGTCTCAGGTATTGTTCTTTATAGCAGTGTGAGAATGGACTAATACAGGTGGGGTCAGGACACACAGCTTCTTCCTGCCACTCCGTCCTCTGCTCTCCTCTATACACGTGATTTGGTCTGAGACAGTTTGATCTCAAACAATTTCATCAAAAGCAAGTTGGTTGAGATGGCAAAATTTTTCCATTTTTCTAAACATTGGGGGAAAAATGTGTGCAGTGTCTCTAAGCTGTTCATTTATGTTTCAGATTTCTAAAAGGCTTTGTTTCTCTACATTCTTTTACTTCTAATTATCAGTTCATAATTACAGCCATGTGCCCTATGGGACTGGTTAGTCCCTAACAGTAAGTTATGATGCACGTCGTATCGGTTACCAAGCCTTGACCTGGTGACCAAAAAGAATTCTATCTGAAAAGGTGGCAGTATATGAAAACACTGCCAAGTGAACAAGAGAAGTGTTTTATAAAAATTAATTAGGTCCCAGCTACTTGAGAGGCTGAGGCTTGAACCTGGGAGGCAGAGGTTGCAGTAAGCCGAGATCATGCCACTGGACTCTAGCCTGGGCCAGAGAGTCTCTGTCTCAAAAAAAAAAAAAAAAAAATTAAAAAACTAATTAGGAATAAAATGTCCTACCTTAAGTTTGTTTCTTTAATTCTTGCTTAAATCATTACAAAGGGAAGGGATTTTGTTATTGAAACTGTCAAGATAGAACAGGAGGAATAAATGTTATTTTATGCCCCATCCCTGTTAACTCCCTGTTATAATGGAGTATATAAACCTGTAAGTGGCGTTCTGTGAGTGTGAGTGTGAGTGTGTGTATGTGTGTGTCTCCTTCCCTATCTCACTGTGTTATCATCCATGTGTTTACTGGAATAGCACTTCTAATTTCTTTCAAGAATTTTTCCTTTGTACTCAACACTTAGCTAATGGGTTGGCACAAGAGGCTTAGCTTTTCGCCTTAACATGCCTTCCTCACTAAACTTCATCATTTCTAGCTTTTGATTTAAAGTAAGAGTCATGCAACTTTTCCTTTTAGTTGAAGGAAAGCCACTGATGGTTTCGCTGTATCCCCACCCAAATCTCATCTTGAATTGTAGCTCCCATAACCCCACGTGTCGTGGGAGGGACCTGGTGGGAGGTAATTGAATCATGGGGGCAGGTCTTTCCCGTACTGTTCTCGTACTAATGAATACGTCTCATGACATCTAATGGTTTTATGAAGGGCACACGCTCTCTTGCCTGCTGCTATGTAAGATGTGCCTTTGCTCTTCCCTTCCATCATGCTTCTGAGGCCTCCCCAGTCATGTGGAACCATGAGTTCATTCGACCTCTTTTTCTGTATAAATTTCGCCGTCTCTGATATGACTTTATGAGCAGTGTGAGAACAGACTAATGCAGCCACTCTACTTAGAGGCCACTATAGAGCTATTAATTGGCCTAATTTCAATATTGTGGTGCCTCAGGGAATAGAGAGAGGGAGAGAGATTGGGGAGCCGTCATAACACAGGCAACATTTATTAAGTTCTCTACCTTATATGGTCTGGTCCATAGCACCCCAAAACAATTATAATAAAAACATCCAAAATCGATGATCACACATCACCATAACAGATAGAATAATAATGAAAAAGTTGGAAATAGCACAAAAATTACCAGACACAGAGGCAGAAAGTGAATATATGCTATTGAGAAAAGTGGCACCAATAGGCTTGGTCAACTCCCACAAACCTTTGATTTGTTAAAAAAAAAAAAAAAAAAAAAAAAAAAAAAAAAAAAAAAAGGCTGGTCACAGTGGCTCACTGTGCCTGTAATCCCAGCACTTTGAGAGGCCGAGGCACATAGATCACCTGACGTCGGGAGTTTGTGCCTGTAATCCCAGGAGGCTGCGGTAGGAGAATTACTCGAACCTGGGAGGCAGAGCTTGCAGTGAGCTGAGATCACACCACTGCAATACAGCCTGGGCGACAGAGTGAGACTCCATCTCAAAAATAAATAAATAAATAAATAAACAAATAAATAAAATCAGCAAAGCACAAGAAAAGAAGGTTTGCCCGTGCACAGTCCCTCTACATCTGAGCCTTCTCAGGTATAAGTGCTGCCTTCACGAGAGAAAAAAAATTGTTTTCTTAGAGCAAATTGCATGAGAGAACAGGGTCACAGGAGTTTAGAGGGAGCAATGAAAATTGTCATTGTGGCTGTGAGAGGCTGGGAGTGTGAAGGAGTAGGGGGTAAGAACTGTTAATGGCAGAGGGAGAATTTGGATCAAGACCAGCCTGGAAATCCATCCCTAAACATCTCCTTCTCCACCACCTTCCCACCCTCTTTGGCCCCCTCTAGTCTGTCTTAGACCTCTCTCCTGCAGATCGGGGCCTCCAGGTCCCACAAACTCCATGAAGCCCCGGGGCCCTGCCCTACCCAACCTGGCTGAGGCCTCCAGGTGGCCTATCTGAGCACCAGGAAGCCACTGTTGGGAATTCCTCGATTCTTTGACATCGTCCTCCATGTTCCTGGGCTTGTGAAGGAACACCCTCCTCCACGTTCCTGGAACTTCAGACCTTACTTGGCTCAGGAGTCTTAACTCCTCAGGATGTCCAGGGGTGTCAGAAGGAGAGAATACAGTCACGGGTTCTTAGTTTCTGTTTCTGGTTGGGCCAGTAAAGCCCCTTCCTCATCCCTCTTTGCCACGTATTACTAAAGACAGAAACCAAAAACTATGGCTTCAGGCTGTTAAAAACCTAAAACAAAACAGAACAACAACAACAACAAAATAAGGCAGGTTGGACAAGCTTAGTCATATAGTCAAACCTTCCTGCACACAATCATGGGCCTTTCTGGAGTCCCACCACCCTTTCCCATCATATTGTTGTGTCTCTTCTCAGATTCTTCATCGTCTTTGATTTCCAGAGGCACTGCCAAGGTCAGACTGCTGGTCATGTGTGCCCTGTCTTCCTCCCCTCCCCGTCTTCCTGAGAACTCATGGAAATCTTAGCTCCTCCAGCAAGAACACATGTGTCTTTCATTTGAAAGATTCATGCCTCTCTTCTGTGTGAAAGCTGATTAATGCTCATAAGGAAGGGGGCGGGTTCTATTCTTGGCCTGATTTGTCTCCCTAGACTCTCCCTGTGAAAGGTCTTTCTGTACTCATGGCCTTATCGTAGAGCTCCACTTTCCCGGCAACAAGCGCTTGGCAGTGTTCACCCACCAAATGTGTTAGTTTTCAAACTCAATTGATCACTCCCTCCTTCTTGAAAGTCTTCTTCTCTGGCATCTGGGCACATTGACCCTGGTTCTTTCCCTCCCTCCTGTTGGTCTCTCCTTAAGTGAATTCTTCCTCACTTCCCTGACCTCTAAATGGTGCAATGCCCTAGAGATCCCTTCTTCCCATTGAAAACTCTCCCTGCTATGTTCCTGGGCTACAGTCCAGTCTCATGACTGTAAATACCACTTCAGCGATTCCTAAATCATTATTTCAAGCCCAGCTCTCTCCCCTGAAATCCAGGCTCCTATCTCCAGCTGCTGATTCACCATCACCCTTTGAGCATCTAATCAGAAACTCAGTAGGTCCAAGCAACACCCAATCTTCCCCCCGACATCTGCCTGCCCCATAGACATCCCCATCTCCGACAGTGGCACCTCCATCCTCACAGTGGCTCAGGCCACGACCACTGGGGTCAGCCTCCCTTCTCTCCTCCTCTCACGCGACACATCCAGTCCAAAGCCTACTGGCTCTGCTTCAAATAACACGCCCAGGCCCACGTCTCCTCCCACTTCCACCAGCACCCTCACCCAAGCTGCTGCCATCTCAGACCTGGATTATTGCCTCTGCTGGCCTCCTGCTGGGTTTCTCTGCCTCTGCCCTTCTGGGCAGCACCCTTCCCAAGAGTGTTCCCCACATAGCTCTTGTGTTTTAAGGCTCAAGTCCGATGCTGTCACTCCTTAAAGTTCCCCAGCGGCTCCTATGTCAATCAGTGTAAAAGTTCCAAGGTCCCATGGGATCCAACCCCCCTACTTCATGGACCACATTTCCTGTCACTGCACCATGGCCCCTCGCTCCACCCCACCACATCTGGGTTCTGCGGCCCTTGGTCCCTCCGGCCCACTTTTGCCCGGACTCTTGTGTGTGCACACACGCTTCCCACTGCCCAGGGCTCTGTGTGCCTGGCTCTCTGAAGAGGGCATCCCTCATTCCTCCCAGGTTTCTGCTGCAGGGCTGCCCTACCAGGGGTGCCTGGCCCTTTCCGTTCCACTTGCCCTCCCTGATATGTCTCCATTGTGTTTATGGCTTGTCTCACCTCCTGGGCTGTAAGGCTCTGGGGGCGTATGCTCAATGCAGGGGGTCTTCAGGAAAGAAGATACGCCAGCCATGGGCTTTGAAGGACAAGTGGGAGATCATCAGAGACCAGGGCAGGGCCGCTGGGGCAGGCGTTCCCAGGACGGGGTTCGGCCCAGCAAAGCCCAGAGTCACGCTGTGGGACGGTGTTGCCTTTGCGCCATCATGCCTGTCTGCCTGGCCGTGTGGCTGGGTGACCAGAAGTGAGACGTGTGCTCTTTTTTTGTGTGATTCTTTGGCATCAGATCAAGGCTCTCATCAAGAGATACATCCAGAGGCAGCAGACGATCAACTTGGTGGTGGTTCCCTGTAACGTGGACATTGCCACCACGGAGGCACTGAGCATGGCTCACGAGGTGGACCCGGAAGGGGACAGGACCATCGGTAAGAGAAAAGAACCAAGCGGCCGGGCGCGGTGGCTCAAGCCTGTAATTCCAGCACTCTGGGAGGCCGAGGTGGGTGGATCATGAGGTCAGGAGATCGAGACCATCCTGGCTAACATGGTGAAACCCGGTCTCTACTAAAAATACAAGAAAAATTAGCCAGGCGTGGTGGCGAGCACCTGTAGTCCCAGCTACTCGGGAGGCTGAGGCAGAGAATGGCGTGAACCCGGGAGGCGGAGCTTGCAGTGAGCCAAGATCGCGCCACTGCACTCCAGCCTGGGTGACAGAGCAAGACTCTATCTCAAAAAAAAAAAAAAGAACCAAGCTTCCAGGGCATGGATGGGAAGGGAGGGAGGGTTGCTGCATGTCTTTGGAAGATCCTGGAACGTATCATATGCCGTGTGTCCTGTGCTGAATACAAGTGCTACTGTGCTTGTTCCTTAGGAATGGCTTATTGAGGGCTGAAGTAGGTAATATCATCTACTCAGTAGATGGACCTGAGCATGTCAACAAAGTTAACGTTGAAGAAAAGAAAGAAAAGAAAAAAAGTTAAAAAAAAAAGGATCTATTTGAATATTAACATCTCCAAGGAAACTTAGTACTACTTTTTAATAGTCAGTTTTCTGGTCCTCTCATTGCCACAAACTCAGATAATCAATAGTTATCAATAAATATTAGCTATTATTATTATTTTGAGACAGAGTGTCACTCTGCCCCCCAGGCTGGAGTGCAGTGACATGATCTAGGTTCACTGTAACCTCTGCCTCCCGGGTTCGATTCTCCTGCCTCAGCCTCCCAAGTAGCTGGGACTACACGCACATGCCATCACGCCTGGCTAATTTTTGTATTTTTAGTAGAGATGGAGTTTCACTGTCTTGGCCAGGCAGGTGTCAAATTCCCAATCTCAGGTGATCCACCTGCCTCAGCCTCCCAAAGTGCTGGGATTACAGGTGTGAAACACAGCCCCCAGCCAGCTATTATGATTATAAATTCAGTCAATCACTATAGTCATGGGATATACATGATCTGCTCTTAGTATAGCCCAAAACAATATTGTGAAATAAATGCACATTTTCTTTTTTTTTTTTTTTCAACTTGGGGTATTTTATTTTATTGTTAACTTTTGTTTTAGGTTCAGGGGTACATGTGCAGGATGTGCAGGTTTGTTACACAGGGAAACTTGTGTCATGGGGGTTTGTTGTACAGATGATTTCATCACCCAGGTATTAAGCCTAGTACCCATTAGTTATTTTTCCTGATCCTCTCCCTCCTCCACCTTCTGACAGGCCCTAGTGTCTGTTGCTCCCCTCTACGTGTTCATGTGTTCTCATCATTTAGCTCCCACTTATAAGTGAGAATTTGTGGCATTTGGTTTTCTGTTCCTGGGTTAGTTTACTAAGGATAATGGCCTCCAGCTCCATCCCACAGAAATGCAAATTTTCTATGCATTCTAGCTCAAGTATAGAAATAGAGAAAAGTGTGCTAGGCTTAAAAGAGAAAGAGACTCATGTTCATAGCAGCATTATTCACAATAGCCCAAAGGTGGGAGCAACCCAAGTGTTTACAGATGGATGGATGGATCAATAAAGTGTGGCATACATGTAAAACAGTATTATTTAGCCTTAAAAAGGAGGGAAATTCTGAAACACACAACAACATGAGTGAACTTCAAGGACATTATGCTAAGTGAAATTCCACTCAGAAAAGAACAAACACTGGATGATTCTACCTTATTTGAGGTCCCTAGAGTAGTTGGACTCATACAGACAAAGTAGCATGGTGGTTGCCCAAGACCGGAGGGAGGGGAAGTGGGAAATTGTTGTTTAATGGGTGAAGAGCTTCAGTTTGGGAAGATGGAAAAGTTCTGGAGATGGACGGTGGTGATGGTTACACAACAATGTAAATGTACTTAATTATACCTAACTATAAACTGGCTAAAATAGGAAAATTCACTTTATGTAGATTTTATTACCATTTTTTAAAGAACTTTTTTTTTAAAAAAACAAGGTAGCTAAAGACAGAGTGGGGGGAACATCCTATTTTTATTAGTTGAATTATTCCCTTGCAGACTTGAGTTACGTGTATTTTACATTTCTTTTAGAAAGGAAATTGAGGCCGGGAGCGGTGGCTCATGTCTGTAATCCCAGCACTTTGGGGGGCCAAGGCGGTCGGATCAACTGAGGTCAGGAGTTCAAGACCACCCTGGCCAACACAGTGAAACCCCGTCTCTACTAAAAATACAAAAAATTAGCCGGTCGTGGTGGCACATGCCTGTAATCCCAGCTACTCGGGAGGCTGAGGCACGAGAATCACTTGAACCTGAGAGATGGAGGTTGCAGTGAGCCAAGATCATGCCACTGCACTCCAGCCTGGTGAAAGAGCGAGACTCTGTCTCAAAAAAAAAAAAAAAAAAAGAAAAGAAAAGAAAAGAAAGAAAATTGAATGACTATCTACACAATACTCCCAAAGGATGAGAATAGAGCAAATTTGATGATAATATAACAGTGGCTTAGAGAATATCAAGTTTCAAAAACAACAGTGGGTCAATATTTTCAGGCCCTCACTAAGCTGGTTCCCCACCCATCCATTGCTAAATGGATGCTGTCTACTCCCTCGGCTTCAGCTGAGCTCCTGTCCTCTCTTGAGACAGAGACTGCTCCTGTCGAGGTCACCCACACCCTCTGCACTGAGGAGCACATGGTCACATCTCTGTCCTCGCCTTTCCTTTCTCAGCAGCAGTCACCCCAGTTGCCCACTCCCTCCTTCCTGAACCTCCCTCCTTCCTTCACCATTCTCTCTCTCAGGTCGCTTCCATCACTGGCCAGCTGGAAGTCACATTCTCAGACTCCTTGTTTTCATGTCTCTTCAATTCTCAGGCCTCTAAATATGGAAAACTTGGTTCTGGGCTCTCCTTCTATCAACACATCGTCATATTCAGTGATCTTATCTGGCTGTGGTTTGTAATTCCATCTACATGCCAGTGACTCCCAAATCTGTATCTGTAACCTTGACCTTGCTTAACTGGACAACTCCATTTGGCTGTCTGGTCGATGTCTCCAGTTAAACATGACCAAAACAGAACTCTTGGTTTCATACTCCATCCTGATTCTCCTCCTCCCCAAGGCTTCCCCACCTCATTCACAGAACCCATCCACCCACCCAGTTCTAAAGCCAAATCAAAGAGTCCCATTTGAGTCCTCCCTCCCCTTGCCTCCAAGTCCAATGTATCTGAAGTCCTGGTGACTCTGCCTCCAAAACGGGTGCCAAATCCATCCACTCCTCTCCATCCCCACTGTCACTGCCTAGACCAAGCCACCATGTTCTCCTGCCTGTACTGCTCAAACATTCTCCTGCTGTTCTAGCACTCACCTTGCCCATGGCAGTGCCCTCTCCACTGGCTTTCAAACATGTCAATCAAGTCATGCCCTTCCCTGTTTACATTCTCTCCTGCTGCTGTTTCACATGCATATAAACCCCAGACTCCTTTATTTAGAAAGCAGAGCCCCATGTGACCTGGTCCTGCCTGCCTCTCTGATCTCAGTTCCCACGCTCTGCCTTGCTCATGACGCTTCAATATGGCTCTGCCATGCCTGCTCCCTCTCACCCAGGGTCTGGAGTGCTCCTTCTCCATCCCCACTAGGCTGACTCCTTCCTTCATTCAGATCTCAGTCCAAATGTTGCCTTCTGAGAGAGGCCCTCCCTGTCCACCCAACCGGAGACTACACCACATATCTCTGCCCACAGTCATTTGCCAGCACATCACTTTATGTTAACTCTCTGTGTGGCCCTTATCAATATCCACTCTTCTTTATTTCTTGTATATTACTAGATTAATTTATCTGGAGAGAGAGGTTCAGGAATAGTAGACCAGATAGCCAGACTTATCCACAAATTAAAACGAAGGACAAAATAGCAGAAAATAAGGCTGGGCACGGTGGCTTATGCCTGTAATCCCAGCATTTTGGGATGCTGAAGTGGGTGGATCATGAGGTCAGGAGTTTGAGACCAGCCTGGCCAACATGGTGAAACCTCATCTCTACTAAAAATACAAAAATTAGCTGGGCGTGGTGGCACACGCCTGTGGTCCCAGCTACTCAGGAGGCTGAGGCAGGGGAATCGCTTGAACTGGGGAGGTAGAGGTTGAAGCGAGCCACTGCACTCCAGCCTGGGTGACAGAGCAAGACTCTGTCAGAAAGAAAGAAAGAAGGAAATAAAGAAAGACAGGAAGGAATGAAGGAAGGAAGGAAGGAAGGAAGGAAGGAAGGAAGGAAGAAAGGAAGGGCTTTTCAACACACACAAACAAGAAATGCAGTGGCTATTTGACACTCAAGCAACATAAACACAAAAAAAAGCACTTGGAATTCAAAGTTTTCTATCCAGTGCAAGCAGGAAGGAGTGGGGACAGAGGAGGGGGCGAGGAAAGTGGGGAGGAGGAGATCAGAGAAGGTACCCACAAGAGGGAGCCGAGTGAGTCGGTTCAGGAGACACTAGAAAGGGACTCCCCTCATTGGGGAATGAGGCGTTCTTGGAAACATGGTGCATGGAGCCAGTTCATGCTAACCATGCATGCTGCCTTAGTGCTGGGCACCCAGTAGGCATCCAAGAACTATTTGTTAAGTCAACTATCCAGGACGAATGAACTGAGTGAGAGGGTGAGATACTGAACCAAAAGAAATGCAAAGAAGAGGGGCGATGAGGGAATGAGGAGGGAGTGAGGCACTGGAGGATCAAGACTACAGAAGACCTTGCTGGCCAAAAAAGGAGCCCATAGCCCAGTAGGAGTCAAATCTATTTGAGGGGATCAATGACCTTTCCATTTCCCTTCTTTAACCATCTCACAGGGATCCTGACCAAACCAGATCTAATGGACAGGGGCACCGAGAAAAGCATCATTAATGTGGTACGGAACCTCACATACCCCCTCAAGAAGGGCTACATGATCGTGAAGTGCCGGGGCCAGCAGGAGATCATCAACAGACTGAGTTTGGCAGAGGCAACCAAGAAAGAGATTACATTCTTTCAAACACATCCATGTTTCAGGTGAGACTCTTGAGGAAAGCCCTGGAATTAGACTCCATGAAAAGCCAGCCCATCTGCCAGAGTTGGCCCGGATGATGACCAAAGTATATGCACAAATTACACAAGGTAGTATAACCTAGCCTCACCTTATTTTGGTGTTAAATTTCTTGGCTTATTTAGACACATCATTGTTTTTTTTAGATTCTAATGATGGTGCTGATTAAAAACTGGAATGTGTCATGAAGTAAAGCATAGAACACTTTGGTTTTCCAAAATGTTTTCACTTGCTTTCTGATTTGAGTCCTTTTATTAAGAGATACATAAGGCAGGTGAAGTTTCCCCCATGTTCATAGATAAGAATAATGAGGTCAAACAGTGAATGGGAGCAGGACTGAACACAGAGCTCCTAACTTCCAGAACCCGTGTTTACCACTGTAAGCGGCACACAGGAAAACCTGCTCTATGGAACTCTCCACGTTCTTAGAGCCTCCAGTGCCCACAGTCATTCGCCAGCACATCACTTGTTTTTATTACATAGAAATTTAATAATAACTGGTTTTATTAAATAGAAATCATCCTATAGAGACTCTGTAGTTTGTAGGACACTGGGATTTTCCCCATTGAATGGAGCTCTTTTCTCCTTCATTCTGGAACTTGTTATTCCTGAATGATCCAGCAGCACACAGGTCATTCCTGCTTGAAGGAGAACTAATGGGAAAACAGTGAATTTGGGCGGAGCAGGTCTGCTGCTTGCTAACTATGTGATCTTACAATATGGGCCACCTTCTCTGAATTTTGTCTTTTCCATCTTCTCCAAGATGTGGTTAGGATTAAATAACACGACATACACAAAGGTCTTGAGCGCCAGCAGCCAGCACTCAGTAAATACCACCCGGTTCCTTCTTTCTTCCTCTCTGCTCCTGCTCTGAGTGGATTAAACATGCTGTTTTCAATAGCACTAGAGGACATGAGGAGAAGTAAACTCTCCTCCTCGAGCTGGGAGATTTCAAAATAATCAGGCCCACGGTTCTCCATGCTGAGTGAGCAGCAGCCTCTCTGGAGAGTTCCTTAAAACAGCGCTAGCTCTGCCCTGCCCTGAGGTCTGGGGAGGGGCCCAAGACTTTTGCTTCTAACAGGTTCCTCCTGGTTGAGGCTAATGTTGCCAGTTCAGGGACCTCCCTTTGTGAACCGCTTCTCAAGGTCTTTGGGAAATCTGAAATCCTTGCATTGAGAGCCGGCCCTTGCAGTGAGAGGCACTGGCAGTGCTAGGGAATAATCCTGTGTGCTTCACCCTAAATTCCTGCTATTGGCAAACACGCTGCAGCCACGCTGCCTGCTGTGTGGCTGCAGCAAGCAAATGCAGGAAGCTGCTTAACCTTTCTGTGTCTCAGTCTTTCTTGCTCTAAAGTGGGTTGTTAAATGACTAAATGTGTTAATATTTATAAAGCCCTTAGATTGGTGCCCGGCACTTAGTAAGCACCGTACTTTGGTGATGAGAAATAAAATACTAATCCGGGCAACTCAGTTAATCTCCATGAGGCTGGTTTGTTTTCCTGTAGCTAAGACGACCTACCTCATGAATTTGTGGGGATGATAGAAAGGGAGAAGGGAAGGAGGCTTCCTGGCCCACACTTGCTTGGGTACAGGCTGGTGGCAAGTGTCTTGCTCATGCACCACCTGGCTTTTCTGATGGCAAGTGTTGCCCCAGGGAGCTGGGCTCACCTACCACATACAAAGCCCGGTACTAGCAAGATGGTACACAAGTCCTTCCTGAATGCATGAGTGTCTGTCTCGTTTCAGAGTTCTGCTGGAGGAGGGGTCAGCCACGGTTCCCCGACTGGCAGAAAGACTTACCGCTGAACTCATCACGCACATCCAAGTGAGCCACGTGGGTTGGGTGACAAGTGATCAATACAGCATGCCCAAGTCACTCTCTTGCTCTGGAATTGGCTAAGATGCCCCACTGTTCTGTCCAAACAAGCAAACAAGTACCCTCTGAAAACTGTCTCACTCACCGTCATAGGCTCACAGGAAGAACTTCCAAACTGGGAAGCAACAAGTACATAGTGTTAAAACAAAGGGTTGAATTGGTCAGCAGAGGTGGGGAGGGGGAAGAGAAGGAAACAAATTGTAATACCAGTTTAGCAATATAAAAAGGACTGACCACTGAGCGAGCAAGTTGTCTTTTTTCAATATGTTGTTAATACTTCCTGGTAAAAAAAAATTTTTATTGCCAGACATGGTGGCTCATGCCTGTAATCCCAGCACTTTGGGAGGCTGAGGCCGGTGGATCACCTGAGGTCAGGAGTTCAAGACCAGCCTGACCAACATAGAGAAACTCCATCTCTACTAAAAATACAAAATTAGCTGGGCATGGCGGCACATGCCTGTAATCCCAGCTACTCAGGTGGCTGAGGCAGGAGAATCACTCGAACCCGGAAGGTGGAGGTTGCAGTGAGCCGAGATCGTGCCATTGCACTCCAGCCTGGGCAACAAGAGCGAAATTCTGTCTTAAAAAAAAAAAAAAAAATTCTTGTAGCCTCAAACTTCTAAGAAATAATTGGTTTGTAAGAAACAAATCCATTTTTATGGATTCTCAAAAGCAGACAACTACAGACAAGGGACTCATGACATCATCAATTATAGAAAAACTTCGGTTTGGTGGTTATTGAGAAATTGAATATTTTTAATGCTTGCCTAAACCTTCACAAATGAGGCCAAGCAACATGGGAAGATTTAGGTTTACCCTTTGAGCAAAGATTATTCCAGATCCTAGGACTTGGCCCACGCTAAATTGTGTATTAAACAAAAGCAATGACTTACTTGAGCCAGGAAGCACATACTCAAAGAAAATTTGGTTGGAAGGAGCCAGTGGTTCTCCAACTTTAAGGTATACAAGAATTACCTGGAAAGTTTGTTATAATTTAGATTCTGCTGGGCACACTGGGCATGGTGGCTTACATATGTAATCCCAGCACTTTGGGAGGCTGAGGTGGGTGGGTCACCTGAGGTCAGGAGTTCGAGGCCAGCCTGGCCAACATGGTGAAACCCGGTCTCTACTAAAAATACAAAAATTAGCCAGCATGGTGTTGTGCACCTGTAGTCCCAGCTACTTGGGAAGCTGAGCCAGGAGAATGGCTTGAGCCCAGAAGGTGGAGGTTGCAGTGATCTGAGATCACGCCACTGCACTCCAGCCTGGGCGACAAAGTGAGGCTCCGTCTCAAAAAAAAAAAAAAATTTAGATTCCTGGGTCCCAGACCCAGAGTTTCTGACTTAGATGTAAGACCTGTGGATTTGCATTTCTACGTTCCCAGGTCTTCCTGGGAACAAACTTTGAGAATCACTGATTCCAGTGGAATTCACTAAGTTTGCAGAAGAGGTTTCTGAAAGCTATATCCCTGTCTAATTGAGAAAAACATCTGGTTTTTGCAAAAATAAAAATGTTGTATTTTTATAACTTTTTTCAACACAAATATTTTAATTTAAAATGTATAATATTTTAAATTAATTTTTAAATGTTAAATCGACTGAATTGTAACAATGACAATTTGAAATATCAGAAGGTAATACACTTTGCCTACAGATACAAACTGTCTCCCAAAAAAGAGCCTAGGAGACCTTATCAATTTCCTGGCATAACCTGTCTTGCCTTGGCATGCTAACCCACAAACCACCTCCAAGTCCCAGGGAGCTCCCCCTGCCCAGGGGCTGTAGCATCCTCGTCCACCAGGGCAGGACCTGGGGTCACTGCTCCCCACGGTGTCTTCACCTGCAGTGTTTATGAGCAGGGTTGGGGAGTTGGTAGGCAGGTTGCGATTGGCCACTGCTGCTCACTAGGTCTGTGAAGATAGCAAGTAATTGGATTCTCTGAGCTTTAGTTTCTTCTCTGACAAAAAACTGGCAGCAGCAGACGACAGTGTGGGGATTAAATGAGGTGTGGAGTGTGTCACCAACCCCAAGACACAGTGTTTTTCAGTTTATAACACTCACATTGTCACCAAAAATCCCATTTTACTAAGACATTGCACATTATATTCAAGTGTTCTTATTCTGGAATTACAAGGCACCAAGCCAAATCAAACAACCACCACAAAACAAAAGTAAAAACTGTCCACCACCCGATTCCTCACCACTCCAATTGCACAGCAGAATGCAAAATTCCGAGCCAAGCCGTCCAAGCTGTGGGACATGCCTGTTGCATGCAAAACTCTCTTTGGGCTCCTTGGCTGGTTTCCATCTCACTGAGATTCACAAAATAACAAAAATTCCAGATCTTCCTGCATGCTTTAAAGGGTTCCTACCCATATACCAAAGAAATATGTTGGCCAATCTCTTAAGCCATAGTTTGATTGTTTGCAATTGTTTTCTTTAGAAATCACTCCCGTTGTTAGAAGAACAAATAAGGGAGAGCCACCAGAAGGCGACCGAGGAGCTGCGGCGTTGCGGTGCTGACATCCCCAGCCAGGATGCCGACAAGATGTTCTTTCTGATTGAGGTGAGGACTTCCGCGGGCCTCCACGTGACACTGTGTCCTTCCCCCTCCTCACCCATGAGATGAGGCATGTGGGTGGACATCTCCTTACAACGCCGGTCCCAGTTCTTTCATATGATTTCAGCACAGACTGTTGACTTTATATCATTTTCAGAAAATCAAGATGTTTAATCAGGACATCGAAAAGTTAATAGAAGGAGAAGAAGTTGTAAGGGAGAACGAGACCCGTTTATACAACAAAATCAGAGAGGATTTTAAAAACTGGATAGGCATACTTGCAACTAATACCCAAAAAGGTAAGTTCTGGGCAGGGCTGCCCGCAAAACAGGGTGGTATTTACCTAGACTGGAGGCTATGTCCAGCACATAAGTGTGCCCAGAGCAGAACATGCCCATCCAAGACTCTGAAACGCTTGGTAATCAGCAACTGTCCCTCAAGGACCAAGACCCAGAAATATGGGGCATTGACCTCAGCAACTCAACACAGGGCAATTCCACTGCCTCTGACGTCCTCTTGCGTCTTGGTTTTGTTTTGTTTTGTTGAGACAGGGTCTCCCTCTGTTGCCTAGGCTGCAGTGTAGTGGCGCAATCATGGCTCACTGCAGCCTCAACCTCCCGGGTTCAAGTGATCCTCCCACCTCAGCCTCCTGAGTAGTTGGGACCACAGGTGTGAACCACCATACCCAGCTAATTTTTGTACTTTTTTGTAGAGACAGGTTTTCACCACCATTGCTCAGGCTGCTCTTGAACTCGTGGGCTCGAGCAATCCACCTGCCTCAGCCTCCCAAAGTGCTGGGATTATAGATGTCAGCCTCTGTGCCTGGCCTTGCTTCTTGGTTTTGAGGCTAAATGGCATTCCATGCCCACCTGAGGAATTCGCAGAGCAGCCCAGGGTACCTCAGGGCCGCTATTCTGAGTGCCTGGAGGGAAGCCTGTGCCCAAAGCAGAGGTCCAGATGACTCTGGGGGCCAGCCCCACATGAAGGCTCTCCAGCCACTGAGTTGAGTACACAGCTACTGGCTGGCCGTAGTGCCTGTTGTGGACACACCAGACACAAAGCCTTCGTTAGTAGCAGCTAAACCTCAGCCTGGTAGAAAAAGTGACCTGGGATACTTATTTATTTTGGTGGTATTAAGACAGGGCTCAGCATGGGTGCCAGGGGACCACGGGAGGGGGGAGTCCACATGAAATCATTTACCATCTCCCCCTCTGGAAGGTCTAGGGTATGATGATCTAGTTTCAACAATAAGTAAAGACTAGATGAAGTAGCAGTATTTTAAGTGCTAAAATGTGCTCAGGTCACCCAAACAATTCCACTCATCCCAGTCCTCCTTCTCTTTGCCCCTAATTCAAGACCAGGGAGATCCCTGGTTTGACAAGAGCCTGCTGGCTTCACCTGGCAAAGTTTCGATTCCCATGTGCTCCAGCCCAGGTGCCAGGAGGGCGTGTGTGTGTGTGTGTGTGTGTGTGTGTGTGTGTGTGTGTTCATTTTCACACTGCTATAAAAAACTACCTAAGACTGGATAATTTATAAAGAAAGGAGGTTTAATGGACTCACAGTTCCACATGGCTGGGGAGGCCTCAGAAAACTTACAATTATAGCAGAAAACAAAGGAGAAGCAAGCACCTTCTTTACAAGGTGGCAGGAGAGAGAGCAAGGGGAGAGCTGCCAAACACTTTATTTATTTATTTATTTTGAGACGGAGTTTCACTCTTGTTGCCCAGGCTGCAGTGTAGTGGTGTGATCTCGGCTTACTGCAACCTCAGCCTCCCAGGTTCAAGTAATTCTCCTGCCTCAGCTTTCCAAGTAGCTGTGATTACAGTTGCGTGCCACCATGCCCAGCTGATTTTTATACTTTTAGTAGAGATGGGGTTTCACCACGTTGACCAGGCTGGTCTCGAACTCCTGACCTCAGGTGATCTGCCCTCCTCTGCCTCCCAAAGGGCTGGGATTACAGGCATGAGCCACCACTCTCAGCCCCCGAACACTTTTAAACTATCAGATCCCGTGAGAACTCATGATCATGAGGGCAGCATGAGAAAAACCACCCCCATGATCCAATCACCTCCCACCAGGAGACCTTATCAATTTCCTGGCGTGACCTGTCTTGCCTTGGCATGCTAACCCACAAACCACCTCCAAGTCCCAGGGAGCTCCCCCTGCCCAGGGGTTGCAGCATGCTCATCCACCAGGGCAGGACCTGGGGTCACTGCTCCCCAAAGTGTCTTCACTTGCTCTCTTGACACATGGGGATTATAATTTGAGATGAGATTTGGGTGGGGACACAGAGCCAAACACAATTTGGGATGAGATTTGGGTGGGGACACAGAGCCAAACACAATTTGGGATGAGATTTTGGTGGGGACACAGAGCCAAACACAATTTGAGATGAGATTTGGGTGGGGACACAGAGCCAAACCATCTCATTGTGTGTATGCTGTTGTGTTTTTGTTCTGGCACTTGGAGAAAACAGCACTATTTACCTCCGTGGTAAGATCCCTCCAACTGTAATCTGTAGCTGTATGCTTAGGAGGTGAGGGGTACAAGATTAATTTTCCATATTCATTTAACTGATCAGATTTTCGTGTTTAGTTTTGTTTTTATTTTTCAGAGACAGGCTCTTGCTGTCACCCAGGCTGGAGTGCAGTGGTGCGATCACTCACAGATAGCTGGGACTAGAGGCACACACCACCATGCCTGGCTAATCTGTTTTTATTTTTGTAGAGACAGGATCTTGTTATGTTGCCCAGGCTGGTCTCGAACTCCTGGCCTCAAATGATCCTCCCACCTCGACCTCCCAAAGTGATGATATTACAGGCATGAGCCACCACACCTGGCCTCTAATCAGGTTTTTTTTGTTTTGGTTTTGTTTTGTTTTGTTTTGTTGTTCCTACCAGTTAGAAATAGTAACTTCTCTCTTGGGGTGATGACTTTCAATTGAAACACAGTTTCATAGAATAAGATTTTTGTTTCCCAAAAGTCAGTATTTCTTAAACTCCTGTTATTAGACCATGAATATTTTTCTCATTGTGAACAAAACTTCACTTTGCAACACTGCCTCTGCGTGCAGTGGGGAGCAAGACTTTAAAAAACTGTTGCTAGCTTTACAACGTCTGCAGAATTATTAGAATTCACCGTGGAGGTCTGTTTGATGTTGCAGTTAAAAATATTATCCATGAAGAAGTTGAAAAATATGAAAAGCAGTATCGAGGCAAGGAACTTCTGGGATTTGTCAACTACAAGACATTTGAGACCATCGTGCATCAGTACATCCAGCACCTGGTGGAGCCCGCCCTTAGCATGCTCCAGAAAGCCGTGGGTGAGGACTTTCATGCAGGACTCCCAAACCATCACTCTCGTACCTTCCATAGACCCCAATGCCTTGGAGGAAGAGATTGGAATGGAGTTACCAAACACAGCCTGCCTGCAGACCAGCTCACTGGTGTGCTAGATTGCTACTTGGTGTGGTCTGTGAGCCAGCAGCACTGGCAAGGCCTGGGAGCTGGTCAGAGCTGCAGATTCTGCCCTTCTGCCTGAGAACTCGTACTGAGGTTTCTAGGAGATGGGGAAGCATGCTGAGTGCGGTAGGCACTTTCCATCGCTGTCCTTCAAACATACGGAGGACGTGGGGAAGATGGTTTCTCTTGTCTTTAGGGGACAGGCAGAGGGTGCACAAGTGCTTCCTCTGTATCATACGCAGCCCCCAACACAGCTGTGTAAGGCAGCGGTCCCCAGTCTTTACGGCACCAGAGACTGCTTTCATGGAAGACAATTTTTCCACAGGCCGGTGAGGGGCGAGAGGGATGGCTCTGGGATGATTCAACTGCATTGCATTTATTGTGCACTTTATTTCTATGATTATTACATTGTAATATATAATGAAATAATTACACAGCTCATCATAATGTAGAATCCTCATCATGGTGGGAGCCCTTAGCTTGTCTTCCTGCAACTAGACGGTCCCACCAGGGGAGTGATGGGAGACAGAGACAGATCATCAGGCATGAGTTTCTCATAAGGAACACGCAACCTAGATCCCTCGCATGCGCAGTTCTCAATAGGGTTTGTGCACCTGTGAGAATCTGGTGCCACTGCAGATGTGACAGGAGGTGGGGCTCAGGCAGCAATGCTCACTAGCTCACTGCACATCTGCCGGACGTGGACTGGAATTGGTCCAGCCCGGGGGTTGCGGACCCCTGATGATGTGAGGAATAGTCAGAGGTTAACGTGCACACAGGCACGGGAAACGGACGGGACCTGCCCAGGCTGCACGAGGGCTGGACTGCATGTCCCTGGAATGACATCTCACCCTCTCCTATCTTGGTCTGCAGGCCTAGGAAACTCAGTCTCCTGGAATGGGTCAGGGTATCATCAGTCATCCTCCCTGTGTCTTTAACCATTTTATTTCTGCTTGTGTTTTACTGATGTTTTCTTTTTTCTTTTTTTTTTTGGTCAGAAATTATCCGGCAAGCTTTCGTTAACATGGCCAAAAAACATTTTGGTGAATTCTTCAACCTTAACCATACTGTTCAGGTAAGCGCCCAGAGTTCACTTGCTAGTCACCTGGACCACTGGCTGTTTAACCTTGAGAGAAGCTGGATCTGTTCCCTGTCGTTTGGAACCCTGTCGTTTGGAACCATGAGGCCAGGGATGCAATGGCAGGCTGGTGGGGCTGGTGGGGCTGGCGGGGCTGGCGACTCCAGGAGCACCTGCCTGCTTGGCTTCTGCTCAGGAGGAGGCTTCACTCCCCAGGGGAAATGAAAGGAGGCCTGTGCCCCTGCCATCTGTTTTGCATGACCTCGCGCAGGACATGGGGCTCCACCTAGGACGAGCTGGTAGGCTGAATCTTTTTCAAGCATAAAGCACAGCGTTGTTCACTGGTCCTACTCCCAAGTTTGTATGTTTGACTCAAAGATGTTGCTCTGTGGGTTTCTACTTAGCAACTCTTCCCTGAGTTACCTTCAGCAAAGGCAAGATAGGGCATGTGCCACATGGGCTCTAAATAAAATTCCTCTTCTGCCCAGGCCTGGGCTCGTGGATTGAAATCTCATTCCTTAGTGCAGGCAAGCAAGAAGGACAATTTCTGTCATTTTTCCGTCATGTAGATTAATTTCTTCTTTCACCCTTTTGGCCTGTTGGTAAAAATTAAATCTCAGTTCTGACTCTCGCCCACTTTCTCAGGGGCTGTGTCTGCGTCCCAGGTGCCTGCTCATGGGGTGGGTGACCTGCCTGGTCCCCAGTCACCAAGATGTCCATTGTCCTTCCCAGACCTTGGTCCCCTTGGTCCCTGAGCTCCTGCCAACCCCTGCCAGGACACATGAAGCACTCTGCTGCAGGCCTGACTGCTCTGGGCCATGGGAACTCTGGCATCCACCAAGGCTCTTCACCCCTTTTGTGCTGCCCTTGGATAGACACAGCCTTGCAACAGCTCCCGGCTCCATACCAGGGACTACGGGGCTCTCCAAGGCCATGGCCTGCACACTCCCCAGAGCCACATCAGAGCCTGGGGGGCGCGTTGCCTCCTGTGTCACAAATCTTGAGGAGTGCAGCACAGGCCTCTTCTACTCCCAGAGGGTCTACCGTCCATCGTTGTATAGACCGAAAACTGACTGAGGCAGATCTGCCTCGATCCGAGGTTTATTTTGCCCCGGTCGAGGATGTACCTGGGAAAAAGAAACACAAGTCCCAGTGCGATCTGTGACCTGTGCTTTTCCTAACGAGGGTTTAGAGGAACTTCAGTATTTGAAAAGGAAAGAGCAAGCGGGGAAGAAAGAAGGAGGGTAGGCAGTGAGGCAGAGGTCACACTCTTGTAAGACTCTGACCAGCACTCAATGAATCTACATGTTATATGTGAAAAGAAAGGCGTGGAGGGCAAGTCAATCATGCATTCATCTCGCGCTCAGTAAATCTACATTTTACATTGGATAAAGTGTGCGTGTGAAATCACAGCTTCTGTTTGGGAACAAAAGAAAGACAGTTAACTTTCCCTTTGGTATAGTAAGTTTGTGGTCCCAAGATTCTATTTTTCTTTCACAGTTGTCACATATACTTAAAAAAAATAGAAAAGAAAGAGAGAAAGAACCAGCACCCGTGAAACTTCACCTCTGAAACTCACCCTCTTACTCTCAAGCCACTGCTTCTGCTTTCAGTTTTAAAAAGTCTGTTTGAAACTCAAAAGCCTAGGCCGGGCGTGGTGGCTCACACCTGTAATCCTAGCACTTTGGGAGGCCGAGGCGGGCAGATCACTTGAGGTTAGGAGTTCGAGACCAGCCTGGCCAACCCAGTGAAACCCTTGTGTCTACTAAAAATACAAAAATTAGCCGAAAATCACTTGAACCTGGGAGGCGGAGGTTGCAGTGAGTTGAGATTGTGCCACTGCACTGTAGCCTGGGCAACAGGGTGAGACACCATCTCAAAAACAAAAAAAAAGAAAAAGAAACTCAAAGCCAGGACATAACAGTCTTAGTTCAAGCTTCTATCACAAAGTCCCATAAACCGGATGTGTCTTATTAACCTGGGAGCCTGAGATCAGTGTGTGGGCATGGTCAGGTGGCAGTGAGGGCTCTCTTTCAGGTTGCGGACGGCCACCACCTTCTTGTGTACCCTCACACGGTGGAAAGAGCGCTCTCTGGGGTTCCTTTATAAGGGCCTCAGTCACATTCATGAGGCTCTACCCTCATGATTAATTGCCTCCCACCTCCCAATACCATTACCTTTCTGCTTTGTTTTGAACATGTAAATTGGGGGGTGGGGGACACAAATGTTCAGTCCGAGGCAGTGACTCTGTGATCCCTCTTCTCTGCTATATCACCTCTTTCCTTTTTTTTTTTTTTCTTTCGAGATGAAGTCTCACTCTGTCACTCAGGCTGGAGTGCAGTGGTGCCATCTCGGCTCACTGCAACGTCTGCCTCCTGGGTTCAAGCGATTCTCCTGCCTCAGCCCCCCAAGTAGCTGGGATTACAAGCGCCTGCCACCACACTCAGCTAATTTTTGTATTTTTAGTAGAGATGGGGTTTTGTCATGTTGGCCAAGTTGGTCTCAAACTCCTGACCTCAGGTGATCCACCTGCCTCAGTCTCCCAGTGCTGGGATTACAGGTGTGAGCCACCACACCCAGCCTTTTTGAGATAGAGTTTCACTCTTGTTGTCCAGGCTGGAGTGCAATGGTGTGATAGCTCACTGCAACCTCTGCCTCCCAGATTCAAGTGATTCTCCTGCCTCAGTCTCCCAAGTAGCTGGGATTACAGGTGTTCGCCACTACACCCAGCTAATTTTGTATTTTTAGTAGAGATGAGGTTTCACGATGTTGGCCAGGCTGGTCTTGAACACCTGATCTCAAGTGATCCACCCTCCTCAGCCTCCCAAAGTGCTGGGATTACAGGCATGAGCCACCGTGCCCAGTCAACCTTTCTTCCTTGACTGCATGGGTGACGTAGGAGCCCTGGGATTCCTGGGAAACAGGTATATCACACTGTTATCCCAGTGTCAGTACTGGAACCGTTCCAGCAGAAGTAGAACTCCAGGAATGACTGACACCGTCCCAGCAGCATGGACTAAGCCTGTTCCTGATGAAGGAGCAGAAAGCTGGTGGTGTGGGAGGGACTGGGGATGGCCAGAGAGGAAGAAAGGGCAGGACAGAAGGTATGTTGCAAGCGGGGAGTGAAGAAACCAGGTTCATAAGGACAGAAAGGGGGAAGTGGGACTTTCTAAAAATCACCATTTCAAGTCTCAGGACATCTTTGACCTCAGATTCGTTTTAATTCTGAGTCCAGCATCATAGTACTTCCAAATCTGTTTAAGCCAACAGGAAAGAAGAAAAAGAAGTAATGTGCTTGTCTTTCTTATCTAACCAGAGCAAGATTGAAGACATAAAAGTGAGACACACAGAAAAGGCAGAAAACATGATCCAACTTCAGTTCAGAATGGAGCAGATTGTTTTTTGTCAAGATCAGATTTACAGTGTTGTTGTGAAGAAAGTCCGAGAAGAGATTTTTAACCCTCTGGGGAAGCCTTCACAGAATATGAAGTTGAACTCTCATTTTCCCATTAATGAGTCTTCAGTTTCCTCCTTTAATGAAATAGGCGTCCACCTGAACGCCTACTTCTCCGTGAGTTCCCCGGGGGGCAGGATCTGCGCTCTCTGGCATTTGTAGAGTTGAGCAGGGACTATGCTAACCTAGAGAGGCTTTGCTGAGGGAAGGAGGGAGGGACCACTACAATGTATTAAGCCCTTTTGTACTATGATAAACTACTTATATATTTTCTCATTTATAATTTTACACGAGCCCTGCGAAGGCATTTTTAATTAATTTCCCCACAATCAGTTTTTAAAGTGAGCAGAGCATGTACTCAAAATTAATTCCGACCCCAAAATTCTTTATATTTCATATGCAGTCCATGAATTACAAAATTACTATGATCAGAATACAGCAAAATACAACAAACGTCAATGATAATGGCTATGAATCAGCTTTCTTTGGTGTCCAGAAGGCACTAACGTGCCACACTCGCCAGCCCCACAAGATAGGAATGAAATTTCCTTTCCCTAGATTTTGTGACCTAATGAACTTTTTGGCCTCTGACTTTCTATCCAGTATGCAAGTATCACTGTGCCCAGGAAGGAAAAATAGCTTTTAAACTGCAAAGACACCCACCTCCCGAAGCCCTTTCTCAATCAGAATAGAGTGGTCTCCCAGCCATGGGCACCTGGCTGCCGGGCACCTGGCTGCCGGACACACTGGCTGCATCTATGAAGATGGAATGAGGGAGGATTCGAAATGGCCCTGATGCACACCCAGAAGGGAGCCAGGGGAGTCCTGGGCCGGGGGTTCTCTCCAGCAGGGAGGAGCTATGGGGATGCCCAGAGGTGGTATGGGCTTGCTAGCCTAGCAGGGGGATTCTTAGTGCTAGAGGGTATGCCTGGTAGTAAAGAGGAGTCAGTGCAGATAGAACCTTCATGGGGCTTGATGCTGAGCACTGGAGTGGAGGTGGGCGGGCCCACCAGGGCTTCACAAGGCAACCATATGCCCATCCGAGAACTCCGTGCCTTCTGCCTGCAACCACAGGCCTTGGGCTGAGACCACTCCAGCAAACCCTTCTTTCTCCCTCTTCCAGGAAACCAGCACACGTCTCGCCAACCAGATCCCATTTATAATTCAGTATTTTATGCTCCGAGAGAATGGTGACTCCTTGCAGAAAGCCATGATGCAGATACTACAGGAAAAAAATCGCTATTCCTGGCTGCTTCAAGAGCAGAGTGAGACCGCCACCAAGAGAAGAATGCTTAAGGAGAGAATTTATCGGCTCACTCAGGCGCGGCACGCGCTCTGTCAATTCTCCAGCAAAGAGATCCATTGAAGGACGGCGATGCCTGTGGTTGTTTTCTTGTACATACTCATTCATTCTGAGGGGAGATGGTGCAGGATGCTGCTTCTGCTTTGGGGGCCACACTCTTCTGTTACTATCTGTGTCCATCTCTACTGTGCTCCCTCAGCATCAGAGCACACATCAGGGCTCCACACAGGCTCAGCTCTCTCCACCGCCCAGCTCTTCCCTGACCTTCATGAAGGGGTGGGTCTCTAGTCCTTGAGCCCTGTAGCACACAGTTGCAGTGTCCTAAGCTACTGCTCTCATTGTTTACTAATTTGCATTTGTGTTCCCTTCCCCCTACAAGATTATAGACCCCAGGGTGGGAAGGTCCGGGTCAAATTCTTCTTTTGTATGTCCAGTCTTTTGCACAGCACCTGCAACATTGTAACTGCTTAATAAATGACATCTCACTGAACGAATGAGTGCCGTGGAGTGACAGAGATACCTGAGGCTATCGCTGAAGCCCAGGCCTTGGACATTTAGTGACCGTTAGCTGGTCCCTTTCAGATCCACTGGCCATGCCCCCTGCTTCCCATGGTTCACTGTCATTGTGTTTCCCGGATTCTCCACTGCCCCCCAGAAAGAAGCCTGAGTGATTCTCTTTTCTTCTTGTTTCCCTGATTATGATGAGCTACCATTGCTCTGTTAAGTCTTGAAGAGGAATTTAATAAAGCAAAGAGACTTTTTAAAAATGTAGGCAGGTTCAGTGACTCATACCTCTAATCCCAGTGACTCTGGAGACTGAAGCAAGAGGATTGCTTGAGCCCAGGAGTTCAAGACCAGACTGGGCAACATAGTGAGACCCTGTCTCTAAAAAAAATTGGTTTGTAAGTAGCCAGACATGGTGATGCACACCTGTAGTCCCAGCTACTCAGGTGGCTGAAGCAGGAGGATCCCTTGAGCCCAGGACTTTAAGGCTGCAGTGAGCCATGACTGCACCCTTCACTACAACCTGGGTGACAGAGTGAGAGCGAGACTGTCTCTGAACACACACACACACACACACACAGAGAACTTCACACCAGTGATCATCATTACAGGTAATTTTATTTTCTTCTTCATGTTTTCCTGTATGTTCCAAACTATGAACATATAGATTCCTTAATAAAAAGACAATAGAATAAATATCATTACTGATTTGTTTTAAAACCCAAGTTTGAGATGAAAAGAGGGCCTCAAAAACATTCAGCTTTGTTCAGGGGCACAGACAAGAAAGATTACATGAATTTCTTTCTTCATTTGCTGTAACAGATATTGGAAAAGGAAGTTCAAGTCAAAAATCACAGCTTGACCAGCGTCCCCAAGAGGTCTCTTGCAGAGGTCTCTTTGATTTGTGTTCAAATGCTAGTGTATTAGTCTGCTATAGCTGCCATAACAAATATCACATGCTGGGTGGCTTAAGCTACAGAAATTTATTTTCTCCCACCTCCAGAGGCTGGAAGTCTGAGATCAAAGTGTTGCTAGGTTTGGTTTCTCCTGAGGTTTCTCTCCTTGGCTTACAGACTGCCCACCTTCTCACCAGGTCTATGCTTGGCATCTTTCTTTTATCTTACAAGGACACCAGTCCTCTTAAATCAGGTCCCCACCCTCAGGGCTTCATTTAAGCTTGATCACCTCTTTAAAGACCCTACTTCCAAATGCAGTCACATTGAGAGTTAAGACCTTCAACACATGAATTTGTGTGGCGGGTGGTAGGGGGTGGGGAGCGGGCGGGGGACGCATAATTTGGTCCATTACAGCAAGTAAGAAAATAGACATGTGCATTCTGAACACAAAACTCGAGCAATGACCAAAAACTTGGAAAACGGTATCTCTAATTCAAAAGGCAGCAGATCTGGCCTGAAGCAAACCAAATGATCGTGGAAAGACTGACACTGATCGATTACTTGCAATCTTCCAAATGTGGAATTCGGGGATATGTTCCAGTTATCTATTGCTGTGTAACAATCACCCCAAAACTTAGTGGCTTAAAACAGCAGAGGTATTCTTTCTCTAGATTCTGTGGGAAGTCTGTGTTGTTCCTCTGCTTGTCTCACCCATGCATCACAGTCACACAGAAGCTAGACAAGGCTGGGAGGTCCAAGGGAGCCTCACTCTTCAAACTACATTTCCATAAGGAACACTTGGGTTTCATTAGCACTGATTTCCAAAATTAAGAATGTCAACCTAAAAGGAAGAAGCTGGCTTTTTTTTTTTTTTTTCAGAGGGAAAAAGGTGGTTAAGAGGCAGGACTCATGTACATTTCCCACTTGGATGGACAGAACAGCATGTGGAGACACATTGTGAGCTTTTTCTCCAAGAACTACCTCAGGAACACAGCAGGAAAAGCAAAATAATTCACAGACCCTTTGAAAGAAGTGGCTTGTCACTGCAAACACTGTGAGACAGCCGAAAAACTGTGAGCGCCCGAGATGGAAGAGGGGAAAGCACCTCCAAACACACATCCTCACTGGGGAACCCAAAAATCCCAGATCATGGGGGAAGGATTTAACAGTACCTAGAGGTGAAATAAATATAGAGAGCTGAGTGAAATATAAAAGTAGTAGAAGTGGCCGGGTGCAGTGGCTCACGCCTGTAATCCCAGCACTTTGGGAGGCTGAGGCAGGCGGATCACGAGGTCAGGAGATCGAGACCATCCTGGCTAACACCATGAAACCCCTTCTCTACTAAAAATACAAAAAAAAATTAGCTGGGCATGGTGGTGGGCGCCTATAGTCCCAGCTACTCAGGAGGCTGAGGCAGGAGAATCGTTTGAACCCAGGACGTAAAGGTTGCAGTGAACTGAGATCACCCCCACCGCACTCCAGCCTAGATGACAGAATGAGACTCCATCTCAAAAAAAAAAAAAAAAAAAAATTAAAACAAAGATTTTGGGGTAAAATATTTTGCTTTCCTTCAGTAGCTGGGCCACCTGTACACAGTGCCTGAACCCAGGTCCTGCAGCCCCCAGCTCGACTCTCTAAAGCTCACCAGTATAAAAGGATTTCAGCCTCTGTTCCTCCCGGCAGGGCCCTCTGGTGGGCCCCAGGCAGACATGAAGGAAAAGTCCCGCCTTGACCTTGAGGGCCAAGAGCAACCACGCCAGACGCCATCGCTCTCATGCCCAGTTGCCAAGGGATCACCTGAGGAAGGCCCTTAAAATACGAGTGCTAATGCAGAGGTCTTGGGATGGCCCCGGACCCTTCATTTCTAATAATTTCCCAGGTGAAGCCAATGCTGCTGTTCCAGGAACCACCCTTTGAGAAGCATGGGTCTATACCACACGCACAGAAGTGGAAACGAAACGAGGCAAAGAAAACCAGTCCCTGTACTCGCGCCCAGGCAGGACAAAGCGGGCGGGGGGCGGGGGGGCGGAGGCGGGGGCGGAGGCGCTGGCAGGCGGACAGATTTGCAGGCAATGCAGCCAGGAGGATGGGCAGGTTGGCCGGTTATGGGATGCTCCACCGTTCCGCGACCGCCCCCCTTCCCAGCCCAGCAGAACAGGATCCAAGCTGGGGGAGGTGCCAGTGGTGTTTGTGAGCACCACCACCCCCTCCTCGTGGCACCGCCCCCTTCTTCCCCGCCCCCTGGATTCTGAAGCCTGAAGTCATGCAATTTGACTTTTCGTTTCTGGAAACCAGGGAGCAGAAATGAAACCGAAACTGAATTGTCTAGGAAATTCGCGATGGGGGCAGAGAGCGCAGGGAGAAGCCAGCCCAGTGGAGAACCCTGAGGCCCGCTTTTGCAGGACCAGGGCCGGCGTTCCGATTCCCCATTCATTCATTCCAGGAGCACCGAACCACGCTGTGCCCGGATCCCAAGTGCAGTGGCACCCAGCTTGGGCCTGGGGCTGCCGGTTGACCCGGTCCTCAGCCTCGTAGCAGAGGCCAGGCCAGTGCCACAAGGCCAGGCTCCACTGGGCCCTGCCTGCCCAGGAGCCTGTGGTGTCAGGCATGTAAGTCCACCTGGGCCTGGAGGAGGACAGGTGTGCCAAAGAAAATAACATCTCAGGACCCCCAAACTCCTTATGCCAAGGGAAACATCAAGCCTGGGAATTGAGCCATCAACCCTGCCATTCTTTTTCCCAAACAGATCTCTGTTGTCAGAGGCGCATCCAGAGCAACTCCATCTTAAATAGGAGCTAGTAAAACGAGGCTGATACCTACTGGGCTGCATTCCCAGACGGGTAAGGCATTCTAAGTCACAGGGTGAGACAGGAGGTCAGCACAAGGTCATAAAGGTCCTAAAGACCTTGCTCATAAAACAGGTTGCAATAAAGAAGCTGGTCAAAAACTCACCACAACCAAGATGGCCACAAGAGTGACTGGTGGTGGTCCTCATTTTTACACTCCCACCAGCGTCATGACAGTTTACAAATGCCATGACAACGTCAGGAAGTTACCCTATATGGTCTAAAAAGGGGAGGCATGAATAATCCACCCCTCGCTTAGCATATAATCAAGAATAATCATAAAAATGGTCAACTAGCAGCCTTCAGGGTTGCTTTGGGGAGTAGCCATTCTCTTATTCCTTTACTTCAGGCAGGGGAGATAAATTTCCCTTTGAGCCTGTGGACAGAGGGCAGCCTGGCAGAGGGACGGGCATCAACAAAGCCTCTGAGTGTGACCTGGGTGCTGAGTTCAGGGATGGCAAGGGAGGACTGAGACTGGATCAGAAGTTGCCTGGAAGAACAGAGGGCCATTCTCAAAGTTTAAGAGTGTGAAACTTACCTGGTAGAAAAAAAAAAGAGTAACTGCTGTTTGTTTAGTAGAGCGTACACCCCCTGCAATTTAGGTGGGAGGTTGTGAGCTTCCTAAGTACAGAAGCTGCCTCTTGATTTCAGCATAGCGAGGAGGTGCTGAAGAGCACAGGTTTGGAGAATAATCACCTGGATTGGAACCATAGCTCTACCAGTATGGAACCCAGCTCCTTAGGCCTCAGTCTTCTCATGGAGAACATGGTATGATAATCCTACTCCTCTGGGAGGGTGGCTGTTAAGGTGAGTGATTGCACACGAGTCCCTCTAGCTGATATTACCGGGTGGTCCTTGTTTTTAGAGCTCCCAAGATAATGGCGGGCCGCTTCCAAGATGGCGGCAAGCCTCTTGTTCTCTGACCTGGGGTTCTTGGCCTCACAGATTCTAAGGAATGGAATCTTGGGGCATGTGGTAAGTGTTCTGGCTAAGGACCAGCCTGGGCACTTAGCCATGCAGGAACAATGGCGAGCCTTTAGCCTAACTGGGAGCAGCAATGGGCGCCTTTCTGGATCAGGAGCACAGGGGACACCCTGCTGGATCCAGAGGGGTGGAAGTCAGCGGCAGGTCTGCAGTGGTGGCAAACAGCAGTTGTGGACGGCAGACAGCAGTGGTGGACAGCAAGTGAAAGCTCAGCTCCAGTCGTAACGAACACGACTAAAAGACTGCAGTTGCAAGATTTAATAGAGTGAAAACCGAGCTCCCTTAAAATGGGAGGGGACCCAAATGGGGTTACTATTGCCAGCTCAAATGCCTGGGTTTATATCCCGATCACTGTCCCTGCCCCTGTGCTCTCAGGCAATAGATGATTGGCTCTTTCTTTACCTCCTGTTTTTGCCTAATTCGCATTTTAGTGAGCTCTCTTTACTACATGATTGGTCGGGTGTGGGCTAAGTTGCAAGCCCCGTGTTTAAAGGTGGACATGGTCACTTTCCCAGCTAGGCTTAGGGATTCTTAGTT